AGCAGCACCTCCCTGTTTCATACCATCAGCAGACCTGCTAATGTGGCATTCAGTTCCTGCCTCCAGGTCACTGAGAGATATTTTGAACAGCACTGGCCCTAGAACTGATCCTGAGGAACGCCACTGGTGACCAGTCACCAGACAGATGTTGCCCAATGCTGATGCCTCACCCTCTGCCTTCCTCCTGCCCTGGGACAAAGAGGAATACCTTATTGCTGCTAGGCACTTCTCTGAGAAAGTCCAACCATACACAGAGACTTTTTTGATATTCAAAGAGCACAGAGAACCTGCAGTCAGTAGAAATGGCAATATCCATTCAGAAAATCACATCACTTTCCTTTCTAGCCTATAGGGAACAGATGAAAAACAAGCTACAGCTATGAGATTTTTGAAATTGAAAGCTTGAAATGAGCAGGGCACAGGCCCCTGGATCAGGGTCTTGGAGCTCAGTCTGCTACTCAGTGAGGTGAGAGGATTGCATCATCTTTTGGTACCTGCTGCCCATCCCTGAAACTCCTGACAAAGGAACCAGCTTCGAATTCTGAACACTTTGATTCCCTATTTACAAAAATAAGGTAGGAGTTTGACTGATGTGGCAAAACAACTCATGTGAATTCTCATGCTGTTTATACTTGAGCAGATGAACAGAAGTCATTTATTAGTGTAAAAACAGGAATCTGTTAAGAACATTAGGGAAAACAGCAAAATATGAAAACTCTACTAATTAATAGGATGTTGCTACTTAGCAGAAATTTTTCACCAGGCAGCACTTAGCTCTTTATGTGATCTGTTTTTCCAAATAGCTTCAAACAATACTTGTTTTAATATTGTTTTCAAGATAGGCTACCAAGAACGCAAATCATTCAAATAATTGTTTTCTAGGGGGAGAGAATTTGTGTTTTGAAAGAGAGGGGGGATTTCTCATTTCTCTGATAGATCCAGCACTTGCACCATCTCTGAGGGATTAATAACTCCATCAGCTCTGCAGAGTTGTGGCTGCTCAGTATACAAAAGGGAACATGACTGAAACAGTACAAGGAATGTATGGGTTTGGTATCAGAAAAAAAGATCCTGGTACCAAAATGTCTTGTGTCAAGGTGCCAGCTTCTGTTCCAGGTATGCATCTGGCTAATTTGGCACCACTGAGTGAGCTGCTTACCTTCCACATCGACAGCCAACAGGAAAGTTGGGGCCTAGGATCACCAAGATCCCATAAAAATTACTCTCTGCTTTCCAAATTTCCACACTAATCTTTTTTTTTTTCTTTTTTTTTCTTTTTTTTTAAATATTAGGAAGATAGCCAGAAATATTGAAAATTATCTTGCAAAGCAGAGGAGTCAAAACTCAAAGGGAATTATTTTATTTTCTTTAAAGGAGACACAGTAGTATGTAAGGTACCTAAAACAGAGAATAGAAATGTTGAGCTACATGAAAAACTGAGGTTAAAAAAAGTGAAAAAATATCAAAGTTCAGTCTAAGCTGCTGGCTTTTGGAATGCAGACATAAACCAGAGGAAACTCTTCTGCCAAGTAAAATGACTGGGGAATAAGCAAACAGAATGATCTGAAAAATCTGGCATTTTTAAAATGATGGATGAATGAACTAAAGAAATTAGATAAAGCCATGCCGTCAAACAGAGTGGTATTCTCACTGCAAAGCTTACTCTCCATTTGCATGCTGACCATTTGTAAAGAGTTGCAGATTTCCTAATTATCAGATTTAAAAATTGTGATGATGAAAAGAAATATTGATGTTGTAAAGAAATATTTTCTTTATGAGCCTCTAGGGGTTTTTTGTCTCATTTTCCAACATGGAACTTTTGAATTCAATACTTAAAAAAAAAAAAAAAAACAAACCAAAACCAAACTTTGAGATACTACTGAACTCACCTGTTCAGCACTGGCATGAAAGCTTCATAAAATAAATCAAGCTGGAAGAAACTCATCAGGATGGTTGACTCCAACTCCTGGCCCTGCACAGGACACTCCAAGAGCCATTCCATGTGCCTGAGAGTGTTGTCCAAATACTTCTTGAACTCTGTTGGGCCTGGTGCTGTGACCACTGCCCTGGGGAGCCTGTTCTAGTGCACAACCACCCTCTGGGTGAAAACATTTTTAGTGACATTCAGCCTAAACCTCCCTTGACTCAGCTTCATGTTGCTCCCTTGGGTCCTGTTACTGGTCACAAGAATGAAGAGATCAGTGCCTACCCCTCCTCTTCCCCTCACAAGGAAGTTTTACCCTGCAATGAAATCTCCCCTCAGTCTCCTCCAGGCTGAACAGACCAAGACTCTTCTCTGGAGGGCTTCCCCTTCAGACCCTTCACCATCTTCATGGCCCTCCTTGGGAGGCTCTCTAATTGCTTTATGTCCTTCTTATACTGTGGCACCCAGAACTGCCCCCAGCACTGGAGGTGAGGCTGCCCCAGCTCAGAGCAGAGCAGGACAATCCCCTCCCGTGCCCAGCTGGCCATGCTGTGCCTGGTGTCCCCCAGGACAGGGCTGTCCCTCCTGGCTGCCAGGGCACTGCTGGCTCGTGTTCAACTTGCCATCGACCAGGACCTCCAGGTCCCTTCCCATGGGGTTGCTCTCCAGACTCTCATTCCCCACTCTGTCTGTACATCCAGGGCTGTCCCACCCCAGGTGCAGAACCCTGGTTTGTTATCCCAGGGGCCACTCCATATGTTACTATCCCAATCTTCTGGAGATGCAATTCATTTACTAATCTGCACAATGTCAGGAGGGTTTGGAGCCCACAGAAGCATTAGGTCCACTTTTTACTTCAACTTTTGTTTTTCTTTCTGTTCCTCCTGTAGCTGTCTCTCTGGAGCTGTTCTATTTTGAAGGACAATAGTAACTCAGTTGCTTTCCATCTCATTTTTCTGTCCTTGTTTCTCTTGAATATTATCTTTTTTGTAGTGGCAGGCAGCTTCTGGACAGTTACCTAATATTTTGCCAATAATCACTTTCTCCTAGCGTTTTTACGGCCCCTAGCAACTTACAGATGTTATTCCACAGCTTTCCAATCACACCAGTTATCCTGAGCCCATTTGTCTGAGAACTTAGGACTTGGACTTCTTCCATGCTTTTGTAAGTAGTCAGTGATACTGCTTGCAAAGCCGCTGACTGCACCAGTTTTTGGCAAATGTGTGTTTTAAGGTCACTTAACAAATCACTGGCATAGGTATAATCAAAACCAGGTTTAATATAGAAGTGAAAGCACAACAGAGTTCTTTGGCAAGGTTTACTACTTACCAGATTGTTAAAAAAAGCAAACAAAAAGTATCGACCAATCCAGACTGAAAATATCCCCAGAGTATCTCCAGGGAGGACTGCAGCTCCTGACACGTGGTGAGACACCAACTTCTTTCCTCAGGGCTTTATCCAGGACCTGCTGGGCAATCAACTGGCCTTCACTCCTGACCTTTCATACACAAGGAGACAATATGAAAAAGATTTTTCAAAAATCAGTCCACTGATATACAAATCGGAACAGTAGTAAAATAGACTAGTCAAAATATGGAAAACTGCATATTTTTCCTAGCAAATTTCTGTGTACTGACATTTTACCTACTGCAGCAGAAAATTTTGAGGTCAAGTTTCTTCAGCAAAACAGAAAAATTAGTTGGTTGTAAAGGAATGTGTTTGTTTCAATTGTTACATATCAGTTATCTATAAAACACTAATTTATTGTACTGTCATCTCTCTCTGCAATTTCTGTAGGCTATTTTAGCCACCTAAAACAGCTAAGTTCATATTACAGGGACAATCACAGAATTTGAATTCAGAAGAAAAATAGTAGAAGACTCTGGTTTTCCAGGTTTCAACACATTTTAGTATGAATATAGAATAATCATTCTAGGCTACTTTCTAATTCTCCAGCTATTATCAATAGTAATTTTTTAAATGTATTTACTCTAGGAATTGATTCAGTTTGGTCACTGAGAATCTCTCTGCTTCACTGTTGTATGGACTGTCACAGATTCAACACAGGACAGTTCTTTTCAGTGTGAACTAGAGGGAAAAGTCATCCCTTCTGTGCTGACATGCATCATCCCTGTGAGTGTAGCCCCAGAACTGAAAGCAACCCACTTCTCTCAGCACCTTGCAAGTCTGCTTACAGCATAACACTGCAGTGCATTTCTCCCACTCCCACTCTCTGCAGTGTCGGTAGAGGGTGAGAAAGACCCCAGAACATGAGTTGCTCAGTTTGTCCCCAAACCCACTTTGTACTTATTTAAGAATAAGCAAGACCGTTTCAAAAATCGATGGATTCTACATGGCATTTATAAGCAAGAGATGATGCTCCCTCTTGCGAAAGGGCTGCTGAGTGCTTGAGGTGGCTCTTACTACAAAAATATTCCATATCAAAAAACTACCATATGGTTTTCTAGAAACCTGCTCCACCCCAGTGCGGCACTCTGATATTTCATTGCTCTGCCTGCTTCCCCGTGTGACATGTGCAGAATCTAAGAAACTGCTTGTGTGCCTATTCACGCCTCCATTCAGCACTGTGCCCGCTCTCCTTCACTTCCTCCGGCATTTAACAGTGTAGGATAAAGAGACATGTATGGCATTAGGAAATATTTCTCCCCTTGCACTACTTCGCCTTTGCCTTCTGTTTGCTTGGCAAACAGGGAATTTTTCTCAAGGACAGCTTTGCACAAGTAGCTGTGTTAAGCTTATACTGCTTCAGGACAAAGATTCACTATTCCAGTGTTTGCTTTGGAGCAAGGATTTGGACGTGCATTAAGTAACAAGGGATTTTAACAGATGCCTTGAAGGCTCTAAAGCCAGAGAAAGAGAAGAAATGCATCATTTCATATCTCCAGCTTAACTGATGCCTTTCCCCTTTCAAAACACAAGATATTAGCAAGTTGTCTGGTTCAAGAGCATCAGTTCATGGAAGGAGTGGGTACCCACCCAATAAGGATAGAACAGCTGCAGGGAGAAAAACCATTCCATCTGCTCACAAACATAATTCCTCTGTTTTCTGTTCCAGCTCATCCTTGCCACATGGGAAGGCGGCTACAACTTGCAGTGCCAGAACCTCCACAGTGCAGGGGAGGCTGATATCCGGGTGAGAGACAAAAACAGCTCAGCCCTCAGCATCCTTTCTGCTTTAACTGTCTTTAACCATCCTAGGACGTATCCTGAGCTCTGGTAAAATATCTCTGCTCTAGAGGAGGATATATTTCATCATACTGAGTATCAAATTTAGATTGTTTCAGAAGAAGAATCTGGCAGCAAAATCTGTTCAGTGTGAAGAAAAGTGATAGCACCCTTAAAAAAAAACAAGCAACCCCAAAATGAAACAAAAACCTACCCACAAAACTGCACCTTCAGGAAAAAAAATTATAAAATCCTTCCTCAAAGTTTATATTCCTTAAATTATATATTTATACAATTGCTTAAAAGATGTGTGTCATTGGGTCAGTGAAAAGCAAAATGAAATTGAAGACAGAGCTCATGCTTCTCCTTTGGTATCGTATCAATGCCTTCTGGGAAGCTGCATGCCTAGGGAGTGAAGAAGTACAGTAATGTTTAAGCACTTATATGGACAGATATTGATCTCCTGCTCCTTTGTTCTTGCTTGTACAGGTAGCCAAGGTGCTGTGGTGGTATTATTTTTCCAAAGTAATTGAATTCATGGACACTATCTTCTTTGTACTAAGGAAGAAAAGCAGCCAGATCACCTTCCTTCATGTGTATCACCATGCCACTATGTTTAACATTTGGTGGTGTGTTCTGAACTGGATACCTTGTGGGCAGAGTAAGTCTTTGTTTGCTTCATCACCCCGGGTCTAAGTCAGCTGCAGGTGGGGAGGAATCATATCACCAGGAGCTGTGCAAAGGAATTGTGTCACTGTGTAATTTGAGGGCATCATCAGAGCCTTTCAGAAATGCTGACCACTTGCAGAACACTGGAAAGTTAAAAGCATGGTTAAAAGTTCAGGCCAAAAATACCCGGGTGTTAGGCCCTAGATTTTTCACTTAGCTGCCACAAACCCGTGTATTTACTTCTCTTCAAACCACTTTTAAGCATAACAATACTGAGTAGCACAGAAGAGCCATCACACACAAGACCTACTCCAAAAGCAGATGTAGGAAGAAGTCATGACCCTGGTAAAGCCTTTATCAATCACAACAAATTAAATCAATGGCCTTTTTACAGGCTCAACTCTTGTATGCATCAATCTCTGCTTTAGCAAGATACTTTACTTACATAGTCACTAATTAAAATGCAAGTTTGAATTTATTCTGTTTTATATGAGAATACATCCTCAGAAGGTTACAGTAACTGCCATCATCTTCCCTGTTACAAAGGGATCTATGATACCACAGGCTGGTCATTTGGCATTTGTATAATAAGTCCAGACAGCAGAGAACTATTTCAGCTGTCTCACAACAGGCACATTTTTCCAGGGCTTCACACAGCCATAGAGTTCCTGTGGAACTGCTTTCAGAGTTGAGAAAAAACCCTCAGTTTTCTTGCAACCTATTAGAGGAAGTCACCTCAGCCCATTGTAACATTTTGTAAAAAACTTGTTGCAGGTCTCTTTCAGACCTAAAAGCAGAATTCACATTTGTTGGCGCTAACTGTGGACAGCGCAAAATCAAAGTAAATCACTGCTAGAGGTAGAAGCAGGGATCAGAGATTTCATAGCAGTTAGGAGCTATTTCTAGAGGTGTAAACAAATCAGTGGAGGTTTGTGCCTCCTAATGTGTGGTCCCCACACTTTGCTCTAGCACTGCTCTACTGTAATTAAATCAGTAGCTAAGGAATTAATCAGTGGCAAAATCAGAACAACTGGTGAGTCTATCTTGTAGTTGCAGCAGTGCCATCAAACACAGAAGCACACAGCACAGAGTAGTGCTGCTACTTCTCCACAGTCTGCAAAGTAGAGGATAGTTAATTTCCTCTAGAACTAGTATTCACTAAATACAACCAATAAGAGCAGCAAGGTATTAGCTGGGATGAAATTTTATAAATGTGCATCAAGCAGAAGAGCCAAGGAAGAAAACAAGAGCGATGATCAAACACAGCCACAAGAGGTTGGTTTAATTCAGAGCAAAGCCCTTGCTACTGCATCAGAGAGCAGAAAGACAGGTGTCTCCCAGGGTCCTAAGCTGCATATTAGCAGCAAAGTCATCCACAGCAGTGTTTAAAGCTTACAGGAATAATGGAAAGGCTCATAGCAAGAAGAACTTTAGGAGAGGGGAAAAAATAGCCTGTAAACTACAGAACAGGAAAAAAGTGAAGGAGAAGAAAAATGTGAGATAAAAATACAATATTCAGCATGAGAAAAACCCTCTAGGAAGTATTTGGTTTTCCAGTTGTCCCTAGGAGAGGACCTCTACACATCAGGAATATCTTTAGCAAGGAATAAGCATGAAAGGAATACTTATTATGTTTAAGAGATTCAATATAGAAGCAATATCACAAGCAATAATGCCTTCTTCTCACTTTCTAGCAGTTGGTATTTCATTGGGTTTTTTTCCCTAATGGATTTTTATAGGTTTCTTTGGACCCACTTTGAACAGCTTTATCCACGTGCTTATGTATTCTTACTATGGACTGTCAGTCATCCCTTCTATGAGAAAATATCTCTGGTGGAAGAAATACCTCACTCAGGCACAACTGGTATGTATCTACTTTACTCTCATTTTTAACTACCAGAAATCCTTCAAAATGTGAGAGAGGACTAAATGAACTATAGGTAAACATTGTTGTTTACACAATTAAGCCAGATAGAATTGAAGTATAACAAAACTATCATACAGCATAAGTCACTAGCGTAGCTTGATTTAACTTAATAAAGGAAATTATGTTCAGAAGTGTTTTCTGTAGAAAACAAACAGTAGAAAATCTTTAGTCCACAAAATTGTTAGTTTTGAACCACTGCATAGAAAATGACTGCTCCTTAATTGTGGAAAAAAAATTATTTAAAAGTCACAAAAAAAGTCTGACACAGCCAGCTCCAAGACAGACCTCCCCTGCTGGCCAAAGCTGAGCCCGTCAGCAAAGCTGGGGGCACCTCTGTGATACCATATTTATTTAAGGGTGAAAAACAGCACAGAAGCTGAGAGAGAAGACGGGAAATGTGAGAGAAACAGCCCTGCAAATACCCAGGGCAGAGCAGAAGGAGGGAATTAGCACCAAAAACTCCCCTGCAGCCTGTGGTGAAGATGCTGGTGAAGCTGTTCCCCTGCAGCCCACAGAAGTCCCTAGGGGAGCAGGGATCCACCTGGAGCCCATGGAGGACCTCATTCTGCAGCAATGGACACATCTGCCCTGAAGGAAGATACAGCCAGCAGAAAAGTAGGCTCCTGTGGACCCATGGAGAGAGGAGCCCACCTTGGAGCAGGTTTGCTGGCAGGATCTGTGACCCCATGGGCACCCACAAAGGAAGAGCCTGTTCCTGAAGGACTGGACCCTGTAGAAGTGACCCTCACTGGGGCAGTTTGTGAAGAGGTGCAGCTCATGGGAAATATCCACACTGAAACTCTCTCCCATGGGAGGGACCCCACACAGAAGCAGGAAAAGAGTGTGAGGAGAAAGAAACAGCAAAGCCAAAGCAATGTGGGCTGACTACAAACCCCATCCTCCTGCACCACTTGGAAGGAAGTAGAGGAGCCAGAAGTGAAGCTGAACCTGAGGAGAAACAGGGGCTATGGGGAAGGTGTTTTTAATTTTATTTCTTGCTCGTCTTCTGTGTTATTAATTGGCAATACTTGAAATTAATCTTCTTCAAGTCAAGTCTATTTTGCTTATAACAGTAATAGGTAAGTTTTATCAATTACCCTCCCCACCTTTATTTCAATCCACAAATTCTTTTCATCTTATTTTCTCCCTCTACTCTACTGAGGAGAAGAGGGGAGAAAGCTGCTGGGTGGGCAGCTGGCAGCCAAGTCAGGTTAACTCACAACACAGTGGTACAACTACAAAATGATGTAAACAAACTTTAGGCAATACAGAAATTGACTGACATCTAAAATTCTGTTCCACCAGTTGCTGTGCCTGAAGAGCTGAGCCAGATCAAAAGTTTCTATCAGCAACACACAAGGCTTGATATGAAATAAAATTCCTTTTACTTTTTTTCTCTTAGGGCCTGTTCATATTATTTGGAAGTTCAGATGTTTGCAGTGAGCTTTAAAATTCCTGTGTAGAAATTTTCTTAGCAAAAAGCTGCTTCTCTGAGCTGAGACCATCCCTGCAGGTGAAACACACTGCCCTGTTGGAAATGCACCTCAGTACACTGGATTGAGCTGTACACTTACCCAGCTGAAGAGAATCAGGTGCACTAGTGTGGGCTGTGGCTCATAGTTCTAAATACAGACAAGTCTCTGCAATTTCTTCCCTGTCTCTTTTTTGCTTCCTTTGTCCCCTCCTTAACTTCATTAATGCAAGTGATAGCCTGTCTGAACTCCTTGGACCTGAGCTTTGCATTTTCTGTTCAGACTTCTAAAGCTATTGACAGGACTCTTCAGAGTTTCCTCCAGTTTCTGCCCAGTAAGAGAGACAGCACCTGTACCTGTCACAAAGTCTGGAAGACAGAGCAGCACCTACTAAATCTGAGAGGCAAAGAAAGCTTCTCTTTTGTCAACTAAGCCTACGAACTTACTTTTGGAAACCTCTGACCCCTTAGGGTTTTATTTAATTTCACAAGAGCACCATTTTAACTTAATCCTCACAATGCATTCAGAGGTTAGAAAGGAATAGTGTTCAAGAGCACTCAGACTTTCAAGGAGCAGGACTAGGGGACATTGCTGTGTCTGATTTAGCTAGCACTGACCCTTTCTCAGCGAATACTCCTGCGTTATCTTCTCTCTGCAGATCCAGTTTCTGCTCACTATTGTGCACACACTCAGTGCAGCTGTGAAGCCATGTGGATTCCCATTTGGCTGCCTCATGTTCCAGTCCTCCTACATGGCCACACTGGTCATCCTCTTCATCAACTTCTACATTAAGGTAAGCAGTCTTCTGAGAGCTCTCTGACAAGGATGGGGAAAATAAAACTTTTTGGATAGTCTGGGTGGACGCAGATGTAGAATGATTGTCAATGCTTAAAACATGTTAGTCTTAAAATACTTAATAACAGATATAGTAATGTCTGCATGTCTGAGAGATTATTCAATAATGAGGACTCCCTCATTACAGATTAACTCTTCTGCGCTTGTATAGCAAGTCAAGTACGGCATTCAGTACATAGGAGGTCTGAATTTGCTTTGGTAGGCAAATTCTGGAATCTCTCTCCTCCTTAGGGGGGAACAAGAAAAGAAACTAACAGCTCTGTCCTTGCCTTGTTTACTTCAACATCTTTTAGCAGGGAATGCTCAAGCCTGCCTGAATACATAAAGCTTTTAGTGTACAAGGCTTGAAATCTCTTTTGACATTAAGTATTACAGTAAGGCTAGTAAAGTAACTTCACCCACAGCAGTGAAAAAGACTACAGTCTTAATGCAGTCTGAAGCAAATATATACATCTGCATCAACAGCAGACAAGTTCCATTTACAGTTAACCATAAGCAGTGTTTTGGTGGACACTAAATGAATCCAGGTGTTTACTTTGGATTTTGCTTTATAGACATACCGGAAAGCACCTTCAAGAACAGCTGTAAAGGAAACCCCTGTCACAACAGAAATCAAGAATGGTTTCCACAAGGACTACTTTGCTGCTGCCAATGGATTGCAGAATAATAAGAAGGCACAATAAGTATAGTGTTTCCTATGAGTTTTTTCTAAGGAGAAAAAGAAGAAAAAAGACTGAATTACAAGCTTTAGCTTAAAACCTATTTGATTACATTTATCAGTTCTTTGTACCAGACACTTATTAACGTACTGCTATTTAGGTTTTAACAAAATGAGTAGAATTACTTGTCAAAGATCACCATCAGAACAAAGAAAGCCAAGATCTTTCTCATATGAAAAAGAAAACCTTTCTGATCTCTAATGCTGACACAAAAACGCCTTATGAAACACTTGATGGATAAATCCATCAATGCCTTCAAAAGGTTAGGACTCTGTTCAGACTAACACTTTCTGTGCATGTGAGAGGTCTTGAGGCAAGGCTTCACAGTGCACCCAGTAAATCCACCTGTGGCCAAGGCCAGGAAAATAAAGGAGGAGGGATGGGGGGAAAGGTGAGAATCATACCTTTTCCATCATCACACCCCTCTTCTCAGCAATTCCCCAAAGCATACTCCCTCCCCATGGACATCAGCAAGGTACCCTTTGATCCTGTGGGAGTCCTGGGAAAGGACGTGTCAGAGGGCAGAGCCCAAGTGCACCATCCCATAGTTTGCAGGCGGTTGTGCACTATCTCACTTGCTTTACACAAGGTGCAACTTGATTCAAATGCCTAGAAGTCTGGCAGGAGCTTTCAGGGGGCTGGGCTGGTAGCCCCTGGCACTGCCTGGAATAGTATTCTGAACACAGAACAAAACAAATCATTTTGGATGTGCTAAATTAATAGGAGTTCTAGGTAAATGGATTTTGAAAGAAATAGGGTCTTAGCAACTTAAGGAAGATAAATCCAATGAGTGTAAATGTGCGTAAAGTTAATCCTATACAAACACTGCTAATTCAAAGCAAACTGTTATGCCCCTTATTAATAGACTGGAAGATGCAGAAAATTTGAGAAGTGAGTTCAGCAATGAGCAAAGCAGGTTATATAGGAATTTCTGTGGCAGGTGGAAGGGGAGGGGAAGCAAGGAGAAAGACACCTTTACAACTGCAGACAGCAGCTTTCTCCCAACAGTTCATCACCATCTTTGTTGCTTCAGTTCACTGCATTCACCCCCACTCAAATGGTTAGAAATGAAGAGCACCCAGGGTTAACTTTACGGGTCTGCCCTCACCCTTTTCTCATTTTGCTCACTTAATTTCCTCTACTAAAAATAGACATGGACTTTTTTCCTCACAGTGAAGTAGTTCTGATCTCTTCCATTCTCATGTACAAAATTCTCTCAAGAGAAACAACTTTTGGAGTCACTCCAGCCCAGCAAGACCCTTGGACTGAAGCAGTTCTGTAAAGGAAGCATGTCCTCTCACTCCTGTCACCTTGCAGAGGCCCAGAGCAGGAGGAGGACAAAACACACACCCAGACAGCACAGACAGCCCAAGCAGCCACAGAGGGCTCAGATGTAGAGGAGGCTGTCCCAAATCCTGCTGTCCAATTCTTCTCCACCTGTAGAGGGCCACTTATCCCCTCCAGATATCCCCATTTAGATGGTCTGCCACTGGGGCCTCTTGGAGACTGCAGGCATAAAGGCAGGAGGAGCATTTGTCCCAGGGAGCAGGATGGACACTCATAGCAGGCAGCCTCAGCAGGGGCAGCCAGAGACCCCACAGTCTTAAGGGCTTATGGAGAGGAAGGAAAGGGACTGAGGAAGTGTTACAGTAGGGGAAGAAGAACAGATGGGGCTGTCCAGCAGAAGCAAAAGGAGAAAATGGCATGAAGAAGGGTGTCATGTGTCACAGTTCTGCTTGACTGTGTGCTTGAAAGTCCCATTGAATGCCATCTGTCTCCAGGCAGTTCCAACTCCATTGCAATGTGGACAAAACTTTTCTGCTCCAGCAGAAAAGTGAAATTCCTTCCCAAAGTGCTACAGCAGAAGCAATACCTCTTAGCAGCCTGACTGCTGAACTACATCATCATGAACCAGGAAACCAATACAACTGCAGTATTCAAAGACTTTTACGCCACCACACCAACTAACTAGAGCTGGGCTGCTGCATATTCACATTTGCTCCCCTCTTCATGAAGCTGGTCACGAAACCTCACTTAACTGAAAGTCAGTGTTTTGTTATATTTAATACTCAGTAAGGGGGGGAAAGCAGCAAGCCAAAAGAAAAAAAACTTAAAAAAAAAAACCCCAAGAACTCTGCATTCACAAAGTCTGGGCACTGCATGCAAATACTGTTTCTCACTTCCGGCTCTTCCAGAACCTTTACAGGTATTTCTGACTGGTACTGTAAAAATCCCAAGATGTAAGAAATTAGCAGGTTTGACTGAGGGTGTTTTAGACAGCCCTGCATAAAGGGAGAGCTTCAGAGTGCTGTAGAAATCAGCTTGAAACAGAAGCCAGGGTAAAGGCAGAGGAATTTGAAAGAGCTGACAAGACAGTGAAGAAGGCAATGAGCTGGACTATTAATCTAAGGTAGGCAACAAAAGGGTCGTGTGGCCCAGCATGGATTTTAGGCCGAGTGGAGTCCATAATCTTTTGATGGCAAAGCATGCATTTGACTATCAAGGTGGAAAACGTCAGCCGTGCTAAGTGTTAAAGTCTACTGCAGCAATCAAACCCATAGATATTATCTTTTGTTTTGTTGAAACCTCATTCAAAAGAAAAGGAAATAAATAAATGCCTTACTTGAAATTCAAAGGGCTGGGGAAAAAAAAAAAAGAAAAAGAAAAAAAAAAAAAAAGGAAAAAACCAGAGATGGTCTCAGACCTTGCAGATCAGCCAGGAAGGCTGGAATCAGATGTGTTTAAAATTCTTCAGATATGTCTTAACATCTTCAAAATGCCGCAACTTGAAGAAAGAGAAGCATTGACTTTTTAAACTGATTTTCCTGTAATACATAACACTGTAAATAAACAAATTTTACTATCAGGCTGTCTCCACTCCTTCTTAAGGCATCAGACTGGACTGTTAACTGGATGGCAAGGCTGCTTTTATTCTCCAGCATTATCAGAAGCGTTTTAGGGCATTCACATCAGATTCAAAAGCAATCTCCATAACTTTTTATAACACCTTCACTGGTGTTGGTATAAAGCTTCCATTTTCTTTTTTTGCCACTCTACCTATAAAAACTTGTGCTTTTGAACAAATGTAATATTGAAGTAACTTGTTTGTTCAAGGTATGTATTTGCCCTTCAAGTCCTTGTTTGAGTACCAGACTGTTTTCAGTTAGAACATAATAGTAGAAAACAGGGGAGAGACAATGGAGAAATCAAAATCTAAAAAATAAATCTCAATATCTCAAAAATAAAATCTCTTTCAGATAGAAAATACACAACAGCTCTCAGCTGTTCTTAGAAACATGTCTATTTCCAGTTCATTACTCTCTTAGACATAGTTCTGCTGCCTGCAGAAGCAGGACCTGTCTCTGTGTGCTCCAGCCAACTCCAGCACGCCTTACCAAGAGCAGGGTCAGCTGCCCCAGGCCAGGTTAAACATGCACAGCTCCTCTGCCCATTTGCATCTGTCAGTTTTGGGTGGATCTTCGGTCTCAAGGAGACAAGAGCATTTGTTGGTTGTTGTAAAGTTATTTACTGTATGAATGCATCGGTCTCGAAGGCAAAGAGTTCAGAGTATTAAAGTCCATGCTCAAAGTGTTCTGGCATAAAGTCCTGTCGTCCTGAGCAACAGCAGCTCCCTTTTTTATTCTTTCTTGAGTGTTGGAGTATTTTCACCCCAATAAAGGGGAATTATATTAATAAATCAATCAGTTAAAAACACAATTCTAAAACATTCTTTCTACACCAGTCTGAATTTAATTCTAAAGTACAAAAGCAGTGTCAGTTCTTACCCAAATTCTACGTATAGAGTATTATCTGTTTGCACAAATAACTATCTAGAAATGCAAGCCATGTTTTCATTGTGTGTAGAACTAAGTTAATTCTGTAAAGGGTAACACTACTGAAATTTAAACTAGGCTTTAGGGCTTTTCACTAGCTAACACAGTCCCTTAAGGCATTTAAGATATATTTTTACTTACTTAAAACTAAAGCTTACATTCTTACTTCATGCCTATGTGGTGTAATATATTTTAACTCCTTTCTCTCTCTGAGGGACTCAGACTTCCATTTAATGTTCCAACATCCAGCCACAGAAGACATCCTTTTCTCTGGCTTTATGCAGCCTTGACATGTGGGCGGTAGCCCTTGCAATGGCCACTGCACTGGCACAGAGTGTGCAGGTAAACAAGTACTTGGCATCATCCCCTGAAAGACATGCAGCATAAATAGTAGGGGTTATAGTCAGTTTAATATTAAGCCTTATTTAAAGCTTAAAATGCATAAAGAAGTTGTCCTTAAACAGAACTTTTATATTTCCTATTTATTTTTCTGGGTATTGATGCATAGTTTTTGCACCTCAGCACCTATATCTTTGTTGTTCTGGCTCAGAAGTGTCAAGGAAGCTGAACAGATTGAAAATTGAGCTACGTCCATTTGCACTGAAAGGAAGAAAATAAAAGAAATATCTGGACTAAGAGCACATTAAAAAGCACAAAGTGGTAATGGCAAAGGAAAGCCACCAAGGTCAGCTACCTACCTTCCAAGAGGTAACTTAACCCAATTACACATTTGTTGCAGAAACCAAATAGACTTTAGACTTTCAGGAAGTTTAAGCTCAAATACATTTAATTGACCCAGTAGTGCAGGAAGTGGTATGAGATGGGCTGTCCATGGTCAGAAAATGTCATTTGTGTCCCAGATGAAGTCTCCAAACACTTCTACTGCCTACAGATGGAAAGACCATTATTAAAGTCTAAAATTTTCACCTCAGGCAGTTCACAGGTTATCAAGCTGGAACAGTGAGCTTCTCAAAAGCTAAGGTGCTTCACGTGAAGGGATAGATGAGTGCAGGGGTAGAAGGTATTTAAGCGGTGTAACATCCCTTTCTGCATTCCCATGCTCATCATTAAAACAGCCTTTTAGGGTTCAGACTTTTCCAATAAAACAGTTAAAACCAAGTGTAGGTGCATACAATATTGTGGCAATTTCTACTAAGTAAGAAACCCTGATTTTTCCTTTATTCATGTCCTCTGAAGTGTTCAACATTCACCTTCCAAGCTTTATAGTTATAGGTTATGCAGAGATGCAACAATAAAATACAGAAATAAGACCGATGCACTCTGTAAATTATCTAGCAAAGATCCTTGGATGAAAAGCATTCTTAACTTTTTACAGCTACAGGAGATACCAAGAGAGCCTTCTGCCAACACACATGAAAGGTGAGGAAATGTAGCAAAGCAAGTATTTCTACACACCTATTTCACAGTGCTGACAAAGCTTAAATGCTCAGCAGCTTGAACTTAAGAAAGCAATGAATCCATCAAAAACCTCATATACAAAAATAAAAAATCATCCACTACAGCCACAGCTTGAAAAAACAAGCAGAAAAACGCCCTAAACCCAGAGAGAGACATCCCATCTTATCCTCTTCCTATTTCAAACCTTCCTTTTGAGCAGCAAACTGCTCGGAGATGCAGATGAGCGAGCCTAAATAGGCCGACATCCATCCCCAAGGAGCGGACGCACGCGCCGAGGGTGCGAATTCTCAGCGCTGTTTCTGCGCCTTTGCAGAACTCAGCGCACAGGAACAGCCCCACTGCGGGCAGCTCATCTCAATTCTGAGCTCTGCTTCACATCAAGCACCTTGATAGCCCAGGTTGCATCATGGTGTTGGGCCAGGTCGTAAAAGTGAAACCACGGAATATAGGTATTTATGTGGGAATTACTGGAAGGCTCAATCTTGGAACTTAGGAGTGAGAGCAACACAGCACAAGGCTGTGCTTTACAAGCACAAGGCTTTACATTCACCAGTGTGAGCTCTGGATCACAGTAAGCAGCAACAGGGCAGTTCAAGCCTTATCCTACTGCTACAGCCAGCCTCAGGTAGTAAAAGCCCCAGGTTTAGGACCTGGCACATCCAGGCAATAGGATAGCAATAGGATGAGATTATTCAGACTGGTATCTTAAAGCCTGTTTTGGTTAATGACACTGCTAGGGCCATCAGAGTATGCCACCGCACTAGTGGGACCAGAGCATTTCAAAAACTCTGTAGCCAAGATGCAAAAGTAACTTTACCAGACTCAAGCACAGCTGCTCACAGAGGTTACAGCTTCATCTTCCCAAAGTCACTGCTGCTTCAGCTGAGTGCTTTGAGAGCCTAGAATCAAACAGCAGCTGTAAGGAGACTGAAGAGTAGCTGGAGGGCACAGCCAGGTCACTAGGGACAGCCCTCAAAGAAGCAAGCACAAGCCAGTGGATGTGAAATCAGCATTTCAGCCCTTCACATTAAGAATAGGAGGGGGTAGACCAGTAGAGCTGAACCTTTGGAAAGGGCAAGGTTGAAGAGGTCTTTTCTTTTAAACCACCCCAGGAGGAAAGCACCAAATGCACCTTGATGTGGGTGAACAAACTTCAGCCCATGCCAACCCTAGTCAGGACTACTTAAGATAAAGGAATGCACATAAAATTGTAAAGCAATGGCAACAGCAGCTTCTTGCTGTTCTCTGTGCTGGTGCTGCCCTGTGTGACCTTCTCAAGCAGAAACAGCATCAGCCCTATTTCACTTATGAAACAAACCCTGTCAGGGTTTGGGCTTTTGTTATGAAGGTACACTTTGTGCAAGGGAGGGTTCCCTCAACTCTACCCCATACAGCAGTCTGAGGTTGGTTCTATAAGTTGAGATAAAAACCCAAAGCCTGGAAACCTGCCATGTTCCCACAAATCCATTAAGGTACTTGAGCACTAATGCTGTTTTTGCAAGAACACACTCTTATGAAGAGCAACTATATTCTGGGGAACTCCACCACACTGTCACACAGAGGACGATACTAAATAGCATGGATTACCTGCTGCTTACTTTCTAGAGACCTGTGATGCTATTTTGTCTAATCCTAGTGTTGTGTTCTGAGCTCCCTGTGGAGCCAAAAGTCACTGGCTGCAAAAATAATTTCTCCTGCTTCACTTGCCATTTTTCTGTTCAGTTCTTCAAATTTCTTGCCCAAGCATCTGGCCAGTAGATCCCTCTCTGCTTTCAGCTCCAGAATTGAGTGGCAATGGTGTCAAGCCAGCAGCTGCCACAATTAAGTGCACACAGGAGAGGCTACACCTAACACATCCTGTGCAAGGTACACAGGACTCTAGACTACCTTTCCAGACGCTCACAGTGCATCAAGAAAAGAGTGAAATTGTTATCCTATGCAAACAACTTTTTACTTTGAACCAATTGTTAAGTGCTTTTACACTAGATAAAGGTGTTAGCAGAACAGTCAAAGTAAGGCAATATCCCCGTCAATTTAATGGCTATGTAATTATCTTCAGTTCACTTCTTTAATTTCTTTGATATGTAATGGACCCAATCTTGCAAATTTTCAGAAAAACTTATTATCAACTGGACCACTTAGCAATATATATTATTTTTAGGCAAAACAAGACTCAACATAATGCTTTTTCTTCTTTTTTCTTTTCATTTAAATAGACTAGCATCCATTACAGAACCATCTTCTTTTTGCTGCACACAAAGTGCTCAAATGTCATGAGCAATAATGAATTTGGGGTTTGCTAGTCAGAAGGAACAATGAACACGTCTTCTGCCTTCTTCACTGGGTGCTCATACTGCAGGGAAGAACAAAATAAAAAGGTAAGAGAAAACATTACAAAAAATTATACAAACTTTGAAACAGTACAGGATAAGAAATTGCAAAGATTCTGAAAGCACATTTAGATTCAGCTCTTAATTCTCAAGCACCTACCCTGGAACAAGTGCTGCAGGATGAGCAGCTCCCATGACAAGTGCTCCTTTCTCAGCCCTGCTCCTCTTTAATTGTCCTTATTCAGGAGCACCTGTGTCCCTCAGCAACTCAATGCTCATAATGGAAACTTTTCCCTTTGGAAAGGCTCAGGATTCCAACTTAAGTGCTAAAATATACAAGCATCTTTTCTAAAAAAAGGCCCAGTCCACTGTGGTGACCACAGGCATAGTTGTTCCTTCAACACAGAGCTTTCTCAGCTCTGTGAAGTGAGGCATGTGGCATCCTACACATGGCAGTAAATCCATCAGTCTTATTGCAGAAATGCTAAACTCTCAAAGCCATCAGAGGTGCACATAGACCTGGAACAGCAGCAGTAGCAAAAATACACCTCTACATGATGGGGTGAACCAGATGGAAACTAAACACTGTATTAAAATTAGCCAAGTATTCTTCTTAATTCACAAATTAAAGCACAGGTATAAAATAGGGATTAGACTCTAGAGAGCTTAAGAACTTTGACAGAATATTTAACTAGCATGTAAGTTAAACAAAAAAAAGATTTTTTAAAAAATCAAACTTGAATATGTCAAGGCTAGAAGTTCCCAGACCTAAAGAGCAGATGAGAGAAAGCATGCAAGGTGTTAGATTGCAGAGCCCTTAGCCACAGGTTGTCATGGACACACAGCTCCAAGGGCAAATGAATTCAGGGTCACCAGCTACACAGAAACTGCCCCAGACTGCAAACCCAAAAGAAACATCACTACCTGATGGCCCTTGTATTTATCTTCTCCCCTAGGAAAGTACTGTTTGACCTCTTCCCCTTGTCAAACATTTCTTTCTCAATGTTTTCCATGCATCAGGAGCAGAGGTCCCACAAAGAACCAGCCCCACAAAACAGCCAACCAAAGGCTTCCCCTCCCAGGACTTCAGGTTCATTTTCTCACTTCCACCATCAATCAGTCAGGCCAGAGCTCAGCCCCCCACCTACAGGGAGCTGCTTTTGTATCACACATACCGCTGTATTCTGGACAGCATCGGCAAAACTCTTGGCTGTTTCACCCAGGGCAGAGTCAACAGATTCAATTCTGAAAGAAAAATGATCTTAGCTGGATTTTTATGGAGCACTTACTGGTGAAGCTTGAACAGAGATATTTACCACCAAAAATAAACCCAAGAGTTTTGCTCAGCATTTATGCTAACAGTGCCTCTTATACAGGAAATGATCACCCTCCTTCCACCTCCTCTGACCCCTAGACACAGTGATGTCGAGAGGGTGCATTGCATGTTGTTCCAGACCCTGGTACAGCTGTCCTGAGCAAGGTTCCTCTCCTGCACAACTTCTCATTGAGACTTCCCTTGTTACATTCTAATTCCAATAAAAAACCCTCACAAGGCTGTGAAGGCTCAATCAGTGGACACCAAATGAATATGCCATACTAGGTTTAGAATACTTTCCCATCTATCAGTGAGGGTACCACCAGCCTAACCAGTGCACCATCAGAGCACTTGTGAGTATGCAGAACAGCTGGCAGGGACGTACCTTTGCTTTTGCTGGTTGCAGAAAGTATTCAGTTTGAGCAGCTGTGCATTCCAGAAATCCTAAAAAGACCCCCCCAAAGAAAGCCCCTGTTACCTGGGGAGGAGCACCTTTTCAGGCTGGGACACAAGAAGCTGTACGCACCAGTGCATCCTTCTCCATGGCTGCCAGAATTTGAGTTTCTTTCTCAAGGTTAGCAAGCTCTTCAACAACAATCTTCTGGAAGGTTTCAAATTTACTCAGCCTAGTGATGGAGAGCAGAAGCAATTTTGCCACTTCAGTTTGCAGTACACAAGGTGGGCAACAACCCCTTCAGCACCAAACCTACTTCGAGGCAGAAGATTTCACTGCGGAACTACATGGGGCAGATTTATTCTCAGATATGTCATGGAGCAAGTGAATAGCTGCACTGAAGTCACACTGCAGATAAATATTGCCCAATAGCCTGTCCCAAATAGCATCCAGTAACAGAAGACTGGGACAGAGCATACAAATGAAGTCCCAGTGCATTTCTTGCACTGCATGCTCTCCCAGCCTCCAGGGAGCTCAGCAGAGATTTCCCATGCTGAAGACCTCCTTAAGGTCCCTTCCAGCCCAAACCATTCTATGATTCTATCTTAACACAAAAAGCCTCTGTGGATTTTCCTTCCATGGATTTGATATGTACAAACAGTTGCCACAAGATGCCAGCAATTTCTAAACCTTAAAGGTTGTGATTGCAACATCCTTATTGACTTGGGTTTGCCACCATTCCCAGCTGCATTGAAGTAGGAAAAATTTGGCACAGCCCTGCATTCACTATCCTGTGACCCTGGTCAGAGCCAAGTTACTTACTTGGCAACCAAACATGGAACCATCTCACTGCCATCTACCTCTTATCTTCCACCACAAACATCCCATTTTTTTCTTTTGGAACTCAAACTTCTCCATGTGCCTTAATGACAGCAAATTATACTCATAGAAGTCCCATTAATACCAGGGATTTTTCACTTTAAAGACTATTATTTCATACTACATTTGATCTAAATCCTAGAAAGTGAATGCATAATTTCAGATACAGAGATACAGATACAGAGGCCTAATAGACTTACAACTACAATATAAGATGCAAGTGTCTCACACCAAATCCATAAATGTTAGAACTTATTTTTTATCTAGCTCCTATCTAAGAAATTCAGGATCTGGGAAATCCCTTTTCTCCTCCACTTCATTAAGCAAGTCACACCCTGGCTTCTTTCTTAGAAGATTTAGAAAGAGAAGCTACTAAGCTGGTGACAACCAGAAGACAGTCCAAGGGCTGCTCCACTGATTGTTTGTAACTCAAGTTTGCTTTGCATGAATTAACACATCCTCTCCTCCTACAGGAAAATTAGGATCAATCTAAGGACTAAACTAAGGACTTATACTTCTGAAGTTCTTCTTGCATAAAAGAAGAAAAAAAAAAAACACACACAAAAGGTGTTTTGCTGTGCAAACCATAATCACAATAACCAGCTGTCAGACTGGCTTTCCCTATCAACCAAAACTGACAAAGAATTGAAGCTGTTTTCAGCCAGCAGCAGACCACTTACCTGCACTTATGTATCTGGTTCAGCAGGGCAGACAAGTTCTTCTCTGAGGATCTCAAGGCATCCTGTGTGTTGATCTCAATCCTTTTGTACCGGGACTAGCCATGGGATGCACAGTTAGGGATAGGCAATGGCACAAGGCAAAACCTAGAAGTCTAGCTTGCAGAAACCTTTCCCTAGAAAACAAAGTTCCTCTGCAGGATGCCATTCATCTTGGCAGAAATCATCTTAAATCAAATTTAATGTGCAGTAAGATGAGACACATCAGTGCTGCAGATATAGTCTGATTTAATTCAGTCACAGTAGTTACACCAACAAACCTCATGCAACTTCAGGAAAGTGTTGCATTAGGAAAAACCTAATTAAAATTTCCTTTATGCCTTGCCTGTAACACTTCTCAGAATAGACAAGTTCTGTAGAATGCTTCTAAGAGCTCCAGACTAACAGATACCGCTGCCAAAGCCCTACTCCTCAACACAAACTAAAGATGGGATATTTGCACCAACTCTCCCTGAGATAAAAAGGTAATTTCACATTGATCAATTGCCACATGTGCTGAAAGAGCTCACATTACCCAGAAAAGTTTCTTCAGGTGGCCAATAAAGCTCTCAAAGGCAAAAACCACTCCTGAATCACTCAATTCTTCGTGAAGCAGCTTGGGAAAAAACACATCATCTATGCTATCATCCATTTCGTGACCTAGGAGGAAGCACATGCCCAAGTTAGCATCATGCTGGAAGATTTCCTGGAATATAAACCTTCCTGGCACTGAAGGGATTGTCATTCATGTGAGCAAAAACGTCTGGAATTTGGGCCTTGTTCTTGTAGAGCTCACAAGCAAGAGGGAAACTGGCTGAAAAATCCCCAGAGAAACACTTATTTGAGAGCTGTAGGGAAGGATAGGCACAACAGAGCAACACAAAGAGCCACTTAGAGATACTGAGGCAAACACATAGAATAAAGGTGGAAAATAGTCAGGCCACCACTGTTTTCTGTCTTCTATTTATGCATTGCAGGGAAAGCCTGATCCTCTCGTGCTCAGAGTTCACAGTATTTTGCAGTTACTTTATCCATTACCTGCATGCTTTCTTTTCAGCTCCTGTGTTTGATGGTTTTCTAACAGCTCTGGAAAAATCACTATTCAGATAGAATACAAAGTGTGGATGTCATGGAGTAGCTGACCAAGTGGAACCCAAATTTCCTTATTCACACACCTACATGCACATTATCCACTGTCTTGGCAGTGCTGCAATATACCTCCTGCTGATTTTGACTTTTGGATTTTGGAAAAGTTGGCCTTCCTACAAATACATCTCTTCAAGCTTCCCTATGATTATGATTTCTACCACAAGAAAAAAAAAGCTGAAAGCATTTAACCACTTGACCTTAGTTACCAACCAGATTTTACCTTTCTGGGTCTCCACATCCTCTTCTATTGAATCAGGAATTTTCTTTGGTGTATGGTTAATCTCAGAGGGCAAGTGATTTTTCTCCAAATTAGAAAATTTAGGCTTTTTTATGATAGTGCCACTCAATATATCTAGAAAGAGAATAGAGGATGTTTCAAAATAAATCTGTTCTTTTGCATGAGGTACATGACAGTGCCTGCTCAAGGAGAAACCACCACTGGAATTACCAGTGCTTCAGAAAAGGAGGCAGCCTCATTTTATGGTCTGGCATCACACAGGACAGGATAAGAGTTCACATGCAAGCATCGTCCCTCACAAAAGTAAGGAACTGGCCTGTCCAGTGTTTTACAGGTATTTGGAAAGCTTCCATGTCTCCACCTTAAAGATGATTTCCTTTCTTGGCCTGCAACTTGAACCATCAAAACCCTCTGGTGTCCAGCTTCTTCCCATTCCCTTCTCCAAGTTCCAACCCAAACAGCTTATGAAGAAAATTTTTGAGAAGAAAATTGAATCAATATAAATCAAAGCTGAAGCCTCTGCTTTGGGGAAGCTTTGCTAAAAACCAAAGAAACAAACAAGACCCCCATCCTTTTGTCTCACTGTGCACTTTTTCTGAACTCGGCAAGTTGTCTGTTTGACAAATCATCTCCCTGGAGTCTCCATAGGGCAGAATGGAAGGTAGTGGGGCCCAGAACAAGGGGGGCAGTCACACCAAGAGAAGCACCCTGGAGTAGATTTAGGGTTCACAGAGAGCTCAAATGCAGTCAGAGATCACACCTGAAACTTCTGAGCATATCCCTGCTTGTGCCTTTGCATGGCAACAGCTCTCAAGTGTAATGCTGTACAGCAAACAGTGATAAAAATGAAGCCCCCAATGCCTATGTTCCCAGAATTAAACAGATGTGTCATTGCAGTGAAGGTGTATTCAGAAAATGCTGGACAGGTAAAAGATATACTGAGAACACAGAGCCAGCTCATGAGAAAAGGGATGCTTTTGTCCAAGATCAAAACTTCAGTCACTCATTTCACACTCACAACAGTAACTCAGACTCTTACAACTACATCAGCACTGAGAATTGTTAGGATGAAAACAATCCCCAATTGCTGCTTGACTTGAAGTTCAACCACAAAGAGACTGTGCTGCACTTTTGAGTTAGTTTATGAAGTTCAGCTTCATTTAAAGAAAGATCCTGAAGTTCCACTTACCTATTAAAAAAGCTACAGCAGTAATAAGAATTATACAAGTCCCCATTTAACAAATGCTTATAGCAACGGTTTACATCTATTTTCTTAGGTATAAAGAAAATCAACAACTTGAAGGCATGCGACTGAAGTTGCAGTCCACTTTTGAAACATTAAAAATTAACTTTTGTGTGTCTCTCGGGTCATTACCTTGTAAATTCCTACCTACAAGTCCCCCTTTAATCAAGGGCAGCTTTGAGTTAGCAATTAATTCGGGAATGTATGTAAAAGCATCTCACCAGAGTCTGCCATGATACACAAAACAGAGAAATAGAATTTAGCAAAAAAAAAAAGTAATCTCAAAACAGTCAGCGTTAATTTGTCTTGGAAAGAAAGTAACAGCTTTGGCACCACCTCTTTCTGCTTTTAACCAACTCTGCCATGATATCAAGAATGACAAACCTGAGTCCTTCCGCTTGGTACTTTCTTCCTCTCTTGATATTTTGCCTGGTGTACCATGAAACTTCTAAGTAGAGAAAGAAAACAAAATAAGACTGTACCCACCCTGCAGACAAGCTGCCAGGGACTTGTCTTGTTATGGGAAGCAAAGGGACATGACACACTGGTTTCAGGTAGAGGCAGCCTGACAGCAGGCTGGGAGGAGACTAAGCACTGCTTCTGCACCTGTGTGGCCTTCTCCACCTCACTGGGAGTGCTCCTGGTAGACACACTCAGTAGCAGCGGACTCCCTCCAAGCTCCTCTGAGAGTGATTCGTCTGTGTGAGAGATTGATAAATGACACAGGCAATAGGGTTTGAATCCTGTATGGACTGGAAATCCCAATTTAATGACGCAGAAAAAAAACCCCAAGCCCTCTACCCTCTTCCTTATCTCTTCACACAGGGAAGAGGTGGTGGCTCAGACTCAGTCCAAAGGCTGTTTTCTTGGTGGTTATTGGTTAAGTTCATTCCTTTACCTCTCAATAGCACAAGCTTATCTTCTCCTTGTATAAGAGACTACCTACACAGACAGCATCTATCCCTCATAACCATTACAAAGAAATATCACAAGGCAAATATTTATGGGAAAAAATGTGAAGGAAAACCCGCAAAATCAAAAAGAAAAACCCACAACTAAAAAAACTCATCCAAAAGGTACAGGCCCACACATACCAAAACTCTTCTAATGCACTGAAGACAATCAAAATAAAAATACCAGCAAGATCCACCGTGGGTAAATCATCTCCCTTGAAGTTAAATGTGCTTTTTTCCCTTGGCATCTCCTTTTGAACTCTTTGCTTTGATACTCCCTCCTAAAACAAAATAAAGTCTAAGCATTATTTAAACATTACTATAGAAGCAGAGGTTGGGGTGTTGTTTTGGAGGGAGAGTTTTGAGTGATTGGCTTGTTTTCTAAATACACTAAGAGTAGATATGTATGTGTCTAACATACTGATGGCTCTATCCTGCACTGAAGGAGACCAGTGTCCTGAAGTTCAATGCATGCAAGAGTTTAGGCACTGGAGATGCACATTTGATGATGTTTTCATAAGCCGAATAGAAGAATTGTAGTCAAGAAAGAAAAGTTTTCCAGAGGAAAATACAAGATTTTAGTGTGACTACTAGTTCTGGAGATTTTTTCCCCCAGACTTTCTGTATTTAAAATATACATAAATACATATATACACACACACATATATATATTTGATATGCAGCATTTAACAATTGTTTTCTATGAAGTTTACCATGTTTTCCTAACATCTCCTCTATTAGACCAATAGAGTCTCAACAGCACTTGGCAGACAAATCTTTCCATCAGAACATTTGATAATTAATACCAGTTTATTTAATTCTGACTCATTGGTACACATTTTGCATCCATAATATTTTTAAATCTGGGGCAGTAAAGCATAACACCTTACCTTCCTTGACTCATAGTCGCTGCCACTACTTGCAGAAGGTACTGGAAGCACTGAAAAAAGAAAAGCTTCCCTGGTTACTGGCAATGTAAATTGTGTACTTTACCCAGTTAACTGAGTTAGCCACAATACAAACCTTTTCAGTTTTGGTTTTCTAAATGTTTACAAGATAAAATGTCACAACACTTCCATTAGATTTATAAAAAAAAAAGAGCCTCTCTAGCAAAGACAGATGCAACAATGCCAACATACACAACTCACTGCATCCAGAGCAGCCAAAGAAATAAAAGAAACAAAAGACAGGCTCAGCATCTTATCTGACAGTCCCCAGGTCTCAGGCAAGACATGTGGGCTGACACTGGGGTGAGAACAACCGCCCTGAAAACCCAGTATAAAGAAGCATTTGAAGCTCAACTTTGTTTTGCTTTTTAATCCCTACAGAATCCAACAGCTACCTGAGCAAGCATCATTTCTCCATGAGTAGGAGAGAAACATTCCAGCAGATTCAGGACAATTTGGTTTCCATTTGGTGGTCACAGCAGCAGACAGCCCTGCAGCACTGCTGCAGGGGAGGTCTGCTGCTGGTCAGGCCCAAGCAGAGAATACTATCAGAGACAGCCACATCTGACATTCAGAGGACAGTTGGCTTATTACTGCATAAACAAGGAATCAGAATGACCTGGTCTGAAAACTGTGAGGCTTTTCAAGGTTTACTTGCCAAGTCAGTGATGTTTCTAGAGAGATGAAGAGGGGGAAGTTGCAGGGAGGAGGTGTGATTGCTTCAGAGAGATCTTCCTCCCACTGCAGTCAAAAGCATCAACACAGCCATCAGCCCAGGACCAATGGACTCTTCAGCATCATCACACAGAGGGCTGCATCCAATACTGTTTGTTTAGGTGCCCAATTTCCACCTGGACACATGAACCCTAACTTGGGAAGGGGACATGAGCCCAGTTCAGGCACAAGGGTGTGCAGTGCATCTCCTCCATGGGGTACTCCTTGCTGCTGGCCTCAAACCTGCTCTCTGCCTCTCAGGAGAGCCAGGATTTGGCCAAATTCTCCTTTTTCAAACCATCATCAGCACTTTTCTGCAGTGCACTACATCATGCATAGCTAAGTCAGTAGGGGACTGAGCTTACCTTTTAATTTACTTCTCACCCTGGGTCTTTTTCGGGTATAGTCAACAGATTTTGGTGCCGACTGTATCTGAGAGTCAAGGATCCAGCTTTTTTCACTCTGACCAGGGCTTGTATTCTCATTGTTGCTTTCAGAGAAAAGATGTTTCCTGTAACTGGACTAAAGACACAAGTCCTGTTCACTCAGGAGCCCCTCAGCCACTCCATTTCAGCTGTTACCAAGTTATGCTGTTTCTTCCTCCCCACAGCACAGCATGTAAAGCTGTGAAATCTGCCAAAATAGCCACAGACAGCTGTTCAAACAGCTGTATAAAATCACCAAGAAGCAGATGCTTGCCTTTTGACAGAATGGGGTTTTTAGAGTACCCTCCTTTCTTGTCCCTCCCTCTCTCCTGTGCCTAAAATAAGAGCACTCTTACAAGGAGGAAAACCTCAGTATGTCTGAGCTGCATCCAGCAGCACATCGAGGGGAACAGGTAACACAGACAATTCACTACCTGGTCTGGGCAGTGATGGTGCATCCTGAGCAAAATGACAGACAGTATTTAGAGGCTACCAGAATCACATTCCTCCACCTCTGCACTGGGAAGGCCTTAAACTTCAGCTTCTTTATGGGCACAACAGCATTCAAACAGGCAACAGTCAAAGGCTCCAGGGATGCAAGAGCACAGAACCTACCTGCCTTCTCTCAAGACTCTGTGATTCCTTGCTCTTGCTTCTTGTTTCATAAGTCCTGCCAAGTAACACAAAGACCCAAATCAGATTAGCAAACACAGCAATAACACACAACAGCACTGTGGAATGGGCACGGACAAATAGAAGAGCCAGGAGGCCCCTTAAAAGTTCAGCAGAAGAACTAAACTGTTAAAGACCATACAGTAACCAAATTTTTCTTGGCCTGGATTTTGAAAGTAGCACTTCAGGGATATATAAACAAGCACTTTTTGAAATCAAAATTAATCTGCATACATAGAGGTGGCAAGTCCCTGGAAGGTTGTTATGACTGGAAGGCAGCCAAAGCAAGGCAGGGAGTTCAAGCACTTTTCAAAAATTAAATCAGTAATTTTGGCATATGGTCAGGAAAGGATGATGTTTGAGAGTTAAAATCTTTTATTGTCAGAGTTGACAGGACTCACTATTCTCTCCAGTAACTTTTATATTCTCAGGTAGTAATTTAAATATTGGTACCAATAACATCCACAGACAGTGTGGTAGCTAAGCAAGGAACAACTGTATTAGAAAAATCACACAGCCTTTTGGATCCTAACTTAAAAGCTTAACCAAAGCTATGAACTCTTATTCACATAGCAAAAGGTTCATAAACACTGAATGTATAATCTTGTACCTCTGACTTTGTGAAGAAATTTTCTGGGCAAGAATCTTTCCTTTGGCTTTAGAAACCTGAAAGCAGAGAGTTGTCTTAGAGTCCATTTGCCCCATAAAATACTCAACATATTGAAAATGTATCAGAATTCATAAGGAAAATGGATTACAAGTCCTGCTTGGAAATTCCACTTTTGAATGGAAGGGGATTTGTTGCTTGAAACAGTTCCATAAATTGTAACAGACAAACATTTGAGCCTTAAACAGAGTTCCTTTCTCTTTTCCTTGGTTTATGAATAATGCTCATTTTAAGCACCAACATCCAGCACTGCAAGCATGGTGCAGGGCCCCTGGACAGCCCTGGGACTGGTGCCATGGAGCAGGGATTTATGCTGACACCCAGCGGCAATAGCAAGGATAAAGTCATGTCCAGTTTATAATACAGAGAAATTTGGAGTATTCTATTCAGCACCCACTGTCTCACAATTAGCGGGCACCAGTGATAGGCCTCACATCAGGGAAGAGGCTGAAAGTCAAAAGGTTTGTCCAGCACAGTCACCTTGATGGAAGCCATAGGAGCAACTTCAAGCCTCCCAGGAAAGCCCACACTGGGCAAAGTTTCAAAGCAGTCAAAGTGATTAATTTTTATTCCTTTTTTTTTTTTTTTTTTTGAGAGGCTGCAAATACAAGTCAAGCAGAATTTCCAACAAAAGTTTCTTGGAGTGGATTTCAATCTTTTCTGTTTAGCCTAGGAGGACAAAGTGGATGCTCGGCAGTCTGATTTCGATATTCAGTAAAACACAGAGGCTGGCCTTCAGTCACAGGCTTGGCCTTCAGTCACACAGACATCGCGTGGCCTCACTGAAGCAACAGCTCAAATGTCTGTTGGTGTTATCCACGCATTACCAACCACAAAATTCACTCAGTGATGAACATTCTTACCACTCCAAAAAAAATTTTCTATTTCCACCATACAGAGAAAACAAAACCAAAAAATCTTAGATTCCCTGTCATCCGTCTTTCTATAACAGTGTGTCCATCCTTACAGCATTTCTGCAGCAAATGATGTCCCCTGCTTCAAGTTACTATTCCGTTAAGTGCTGAGCTTCTGTCTCAACTTTACCTTTTCATGACTTGAGGAGTCTGAGTTTTCAAAGTCATAGACTTCCTTCCTGCAAGACAACATAAATATGGCATGCAATAGTGAAGAATCACCCTACAGAATTTCATTAAGAGTAGGGGAGTGATAATGTGGTTTCTTTCTGAGCCCCCTCTCCTCAGATAACTTATATGCCTAAAAATACTGTTTTCTAAGCTTCTAAAAAACACTCCTTTTCATCTTTGTCTTATTACTGTCTTGATTCTCACTCTTTTATAGTAGTAACTAAGAAATAGTCAAAATTAACAGAGGAATTAACCTATCCCCTGCTTCTGTAGGACATTTTGTTCTCATGTCCCCATAATAATACATGGTAGGAAGAAGTAATGACTGGAAATATACTATCAGAAGCATTTTAAAAATCCCATTTAATTCTCTTTTGAAAACTCTAGTATTTAATATTTGTTCTCTAATCTCTGTGTACATCTAGATTTTGTTTTCGTATCTTCCAACACGTAACCGCGCATTTATGGCTTCCTCCAAATCTATTTCCAAAAAATCCTACAAAAATTGTTAGACATACAGTACATCACCTTTTTGCTAGTAAAAGAATGGGAAGAACTGAGAACTTGGCCAAAGCTTCCCGCAGGAAGGAAAAGCTCATTTCCAGATGAAACACTAGAGGGAGCAGAACGACCAAGCTAAGAAGTTTCCACCCTTAACTCCTACACTGTTCCTGTGTAAAACATTCCTGTTTTAAAACCGGTATTTGCTGCATCAAATTGCTTTAAAGCATACAAAACAAAAAACTTCATGAAGCCCTACATCAAGCTTTCCTATTCTTACCTACAGTCAGTCAAAAAAATGGTCTAAGCACTTGGGGGTTTGGGAGGTTTTTTTGAGCTAAGAGACAGCAGGCTGAAGCAGGACCCCCACGGAAGCCCCAGAGCAGCAGCAGAGATCCTCACACAGTTCATTTGCCCTCCTGCCCAGCAGCAGGCATTGACTCCAACACAATGCTTGGAAAGCTCAACAAGGCAGACTTTCAGTGCCACAGGCTGCATGCGGCCCCCAAACCCTCAAGTGCTTCTTCCTGCAGTGCCCCCAGCTTTAAGCGCAGACAGATGTGTGGGTGTGAGGGAAGGGGACAAGCTGAGAAAGAAGCCATCCTGAAACCCTAGGACACGTGATGCCAAGGAACTAGGACAATATTGGAGAAAAGCTAAATATTTGTGAAGGAAGCTGGTGCTCAGAACTGAACTGACTGGAGGGCTACGGTCGAGCAAGGGAAAAGCCAACATGCCATAACATGGTATCTCAGGTGTAGAGGGCGTTTTTGGCAGACTAGGGTTAGCTTCTGAGATCATCACCATTTTGGGGACCCAAAGGGTCTTCCAGAGACAAGTTATGAACTTTCACAGCCTCATAATTGTTTTACTGCCTGTTCTAGGTACAGTCAGGCCATCCCCCATGTGGACACCCCTTCCTGCCTGAGTGCCAAAAGAGGTCTAAAATGACTTGGTACACCGGTTCCTGATGGGCACGGGGCTTGCGCGTCATACCTGCCTTCAGCCCTCTTCTTGGCCAAACTGGTTTTCCTGTTCCTCCGTTTGCTGGTATCATCCTTTGGAAAAGAAGAGAATTGCAGGAACTAAAGCAACAATACTCAAAGTAATGTTCTCATTCTAAAGCCTGCTAAAAGCAGAGGAAAGGTGTGCCAGGAAACTTCCTTCCTCCCTCTACAACAATTTTTCAGGTGCAACTGTTGCCTGCAATACTTTCTCACCACAAACTATGGGACTCGGAGCTGAACCTGGGGAGTCAAGAGAAGTATTTTATGAAATAAAAATCTTGGGGGGAGAGAAGTAGTTCAAAAGCTTGAAATTCACTGTACAGTGAGCAAGTGCTACAAAACAACTGAACAGACAGTAGAAAATATTTTTTAAAAAATCAAACCTGGAAATGTAAACCCAAGAACTAGTCTAAGATGTGATTTCTTATATAAGTACCTAAGCTCAAAAATATTACTTCAGGAACTTAATTTTGCTCATTTAGTGCACTGGTTTATTTTTTTTAGTATATGGACACACCAATAGCACTTTCCAAGTGCAACTACAGAGGACTCTCAGTTACTTGGTAATCTACCCAGGCTGCAAATTCCTACATGGGAGAGTCATTAGAGCCCAGATACTAAACTGAATAAACACATCTGTAGCCTTCCAAGGCTTACTTCCATTCAGGAACCAAACATTTCCTCTTGAGGAGAGTGTTCAAGTCAAGTGATGTGCAAGTACATCCCACACACCTAGACTCATTGCTTTGGGACTGAATAGCTGCTGAATAAACTTTAATGAGCTTGAATCACTTGTCTGGGCCTCTCTAGAATGAGGTTGTTGCCTCTGCAGCTCACTCCTGGTGCTAAGTGGCACAGCACATCAGGTGTGACACTGTGGGCTCAGGACACCTCTCAATGGCACAAGTAGGTCAACCCATCCCAGCTTTCTTCTGCAACTCCACCAGGATATCTCTTCCCTATCCCTCCTCACTCAAGGGAGACCCCCAAGGCACACATACCTTTAGCATCAACTCATCCATAGGTTCTTCTTCTAGGGGCTTCTCACTGGGGATAAGAGGGCACGTGAGGGAGCTGTTCATCTAAAGACCAAAACTTTTGTGAAGTATTAAGGGGGGGGAAAAAACCCCAAAAGTTGCATCAAAATTTGCACCAAACCAGTAGTTTAATGTATAAGGAAGAAAGGTAATCAATAGCTCTACAGAAGTCCAGCTCCTTAACTACAAGAAATTCTGTCCTGCAGAGGTCTGAGAAAAGAAGGTGCATTCAAGCCAAGGTGAATTCAAATTCATATCTTTCACAAAGTCATGGTCCCCATTATGAACAATCTCACATTTGGCAAGCTCAGGTTTCACAGCTGAAGTTTAACTGTCTGTAAATCAGCTGTGGGCTCACCTTGCATTTGGACTAAATCCATGATGAGAAAAAAATCAAAGCAGCTGCCAACCTAGTAACCAAATATCACTGTTCAGCAACTCCAAAGGGCTGTAACTGCAGGCAAACAGCCTTCATGTCCAGATGGCAAAACAGAATTTTCAATTTAATAATTGATGTAATAACCTCAAAATCACATGCATTAAAACCTCAGGGGGAAAAAAAACCAAAACCCAAACAGACACCCCAAAAAACCCAAACAGAACTCACTTTGCAACTTTCTGTCTGTGAGACACTCACCTAGGCTTAGCTTTCTTCCCTGGAGATGGAGTTTTGGAGTTGTTTTCTGAAGAAGGCAAGGAAAATATAGTTTTACCCTCTGGAGCTGCTAAGAAACTTTATCTGCTTTTGCTGTAGGACCCACAAAGGCAGAGCCTTCAGCATGTCACCTGGGTAACATTTTACTGGGTCAGACTTAAGGTACTGAAGGGAGCCATGCCTGACCTTGGTTAGCATCCTCCAGGTCAGTCTGCTGGCCCACTGTAACCATGGCTACACCAGAGTTGACCATTTTCTGTTTGGAGACATGAGACCATGAACAAAACATGCATATGATCAATAAAAAGTGGGGTTTTTTTTAGAAACAGATTTTTTAGAGGTAGCCTGTGGAAAGAGCTGCATGGCAGGTTCACCATTGTCCGCACGTAAAAACCTTTTAAGCTGCGTATAAGTAATTCTCTGGGTTTATTGCTAAGAACATCCTACTGTAGTCTTATAAAAGGAAGTAATTTTAAAATTTTTTTTCTTTTTAAAGCAGTTTTGCCAAAATGGCAGCTCTGGAGACAAGAATTTGAGCTGAATAGATACAAAGCAGTTTTCTTTGAAAGAAGGTTTTAGTCACACATGTGAAAAAAGCAGACTGGAGGAAGGGAAAAGTGGCACAAGGACAGTTCCATCATACACCAAATACTTACTACTACAGTGCTTGTAAACTGCTGTCTGTGCTGAGAGGTTAGGTTGCCTTTTTGAGTCTCTGCATTCTCAGAGTTTGAAGGATTGCTCTTCCTCTGTGCGTTAGAGGGCACAAGTATTTCTGCACAACAACAGCTGGGGTGAGAACGTCATCACAGTAATTGAACACACTCACTACCCCTTCTTTCCATTCCCACACATGCATAAATTGCAGCAGTACAACCTTCTAGGCATATCTCAAGCTCACATTTAACAGAGGAAACACAGGTATCTTCATAGTACCCAGTGACAATGCTAAATGATATAAGCTCATCAATATTGGATGAATATATGCAAGTTTATCATCTTACTACTTATTTTCCTACACTGACTCTTAAGCTCTGGAAGACAGAACAAGCCTTTGTGTCTGGCTAAAGCAGGGGGATCTTCCACCATCTATGTTTTCCTCTACTGAATCTCTATCAGGCATTGCAAAATTTGTTTCACTGCTTAAAATTAACTACCTTCTACCCTTCATAGCGCTTGACTGCTTCAAGTAGCAGTGCCCACCTTGAACCTCTGTGTGCTCCATGGTGGGCACTGACAAAGGAACTCCTAGCTCATCTCTAGCTCAACTCTGCATCTCCAGAAGCAGAAGGACTTCCATTCTAGCTTATTTCATGCTCCAACTGGAGGAAAATGGGAAGGACTACTGAAGAAGTTACTGCCCCAGACATTTAGAGCTGGGCGGGGCTCTTTCAAGTATTCACCTGGAGAAATCTAAAATGCACAGGAACTTAGAGGAAAGTAAAATTTCTTTTTAATATTGTCACAGAAAGAATGCTAGCTATCCTAAGAGCTCTTCAAACTTGATTTGTTTTCAAGACAGTAGGTGGTAGCAGTAGGAAGAGCTGTGATTTCACAGCCTTAGAAGATGTGGAAATATCTGTCAAGCAATTTACACCAAGAAAAGATCCACACAAAAAGTAATCACTCTAAAACCTGAAATACAGCCAGATTTGGAGCAAGGACAAATCCCAGCCTTCTGGGTTAAAAGACAGCAAAAAAAAAAAACAAAAAACAACACCTTCCAAAGAATTTGATACACCAAAGTTGAGCTGAGGAAGCATTTCCTGTTTAAGAACAATTTTGATCACAGTCACCTCCTGCTTTTTTGCTGTTAGCAGCTTTTCCTTAAGGCTGTGACCTACAGTTTGTGGGGACTTACAGAAGAATTTCAGAGCATGAGGAGGAAAGAAAGGAGGTACTTTTTCTTTTTCTTTGCAAGTGCTGGGCTTGGACCACCTTGTTTTGGATCAGACACAGAAATTACACATCTTTACTTCAGGCTCCAAGTTACCTCAGCTTCTGAATTTAGAACATAATGAAACTGTCAAATGATCCTGGAAGATGATGCCTTGCAGGAGATGTTCACTGGCAGCACAGGCAGCACCACCATTTGATGACGCAAAATTTAATGCGCCCAGTTCAAAGAAACACAAAGCATTGGCTGTAGGGTGGTGAGAATAAAGAAGTAAAGGCTATTCCAGGTGCAACTAAGAGCTGTCCTGCCTTAAGGCACACAGCTATTTTTGTAGCTGGGGCACACACAGATAAAGCCCTGCAGCACAAGTATTTACAGCAGCAGCTCACCTCCTGCAGAGGAACTGAGATGCTGCCCACCTTTACCCACTAATAGTGATTGCAGGTGAGCACTTCTGCTCCACCAGTTGTTATTCCACAGCAGCTCCAGGTAACCTCCAAGGCACTGCACTTGGGGACAGGGGACTGGAGCACATCATTTTCTAGCACATCACCTTATTCAGAAGAAACAGAAGCCACCTCCCTGCAGGAAGCTTTAGTAGAGGTTACCCCACAATATGCACCCCACTGCACAGAGAAGAGAGCTTGCAGAATGCCAGGGTGTAAAGCACAGGCCCACCAGAGGACCTGTGCTTTCAGGAGGCCAGAGTCACCACCCCCTTCTGCAGGCACCCATCCACATGGTATGGCCATGAAACCAGAAACCAGGTATCAAGCAACCCAGAGGGGAAGACAGGAGGGTGCATCCCACCACACCTGCCAATGGAAAAACAGTTCTGCACACCCTGCACATCAGAGGTCAGCCTCAGCTGAAATGTGCCTTGCTGGGCCACCTACCAGCACACAGATCCTGTCTCCATGAGCATTCCCTTGCCTGTGCAACCCCAGCAGCACATGGCCATGGTGCCCAGCCCTCACTCCCTGGGCTAGAGGGACTTATCTGCTACAAGCAGAGTTACCAAGCTCACAAGGCAGGAACAGTAGAAGACTGAGCTCAGGCATTGCTTGTTTAAGTGAAGTTAACTGTAAGCTGTGGACTACAAGTGGAAAGGATAATTTGAAAACATATTTAAATGTAATGAAATGATACAATTAAAAAATAAAAAAATCACCTGCATTCTGCATGGCTTCCTTCCCAGCACAGACAGTCTCATCTTCAGACTCAACTATCTGTTGGTATGAATTAATCTCATGTGAAAGAGGTCTTAAATAGACTTTATCTGGTAAAGCCAGCTACTTAATAACAAAACTAACAGTTGCTAATTGCCAGCAACAAATCAGTGGATACTAATTGAGTTGATCATTTGGAAAGGTCTTGGCTCCTTTAAGGGCAAATGACAGTCATCATGTTATGCCTATTTACTGCCATGTAAGCTTTTCTACAAACACCACAGACTGTGGATGAATTAAAAATAAAAAATTAACTATATTAACATTTGGGGGGGGAAAAAAAAAAACAAACATGCACCATTTAGGTTTTTTGCGTTAGCTAATAAAAGACCTTGAAGCTTCAGAAGTACTCTATTCTTTAAGTTCTATCTACAACATCAGTCTAAGATTTTCATTTTTCAGCACCCCCCTCCAGGTTTTTGTGTAACAATTTGCTCATCCTATGTGATGTAACACTTAGAGCCATATGTAAGAGCATGTTCATACTTAAATTTATGCAATGAAATGTTTAGGTTTTATTTTCTACTTCAGAAACTCAGGAGAAGTTATAACACAAGGAATTAATTAACAAATCATTTTAACCTTCCAGCTTTAAAACTATAAATTTGAGTATCTTGAAACTTCTTTCCTAAAACACCTAATTTCTCTTCCAGGCCAAGGTTTAGAACATCTATATAGAGTGCGATAAATCCACAGTGGAAAGACAGATAGAGTAAAGAGGCACTGAGAAAATAGAGAAACCACAAAACACAAATCCTACAAACCTGAATGGTTTTGTCCAGTATAAAATATAGTTAAGAAAACAATCCATATATTAGAGCTCACCATCAGTTTTTCCTCTCCCAGGACTTTTCTAAGTACACTTAATATTTCAAACTCGGCACTGAAAACCAGTTTGACTTTTGTTGCTTCTGTTTTGTTAAGAGCAGTGGGTATCTTCATAAAAATTTTAACAATCTTTTCTCTATCCTTCTCTGTGTAAAAACAAAGAAAATAAAACAAACAATTGATTACATTTGTTTTAGATCAAGACATTCTTCTGTTAACCCAAAAATATCTGAGTAAGCATTTGGGATTTTTAAAACGGGTCTTTTACATCTTGCCCTTGCATTTCCAGTTACTCTCAGTTATGCGCGGTTCTTTCCTGTTGAGTCGTGGTTGTGCTGTTCCGCAGGACACCTAAAAACTGATACCTCAGGCTGTCCTGTTTGGGTATGGGAGAGGGGATTACTGCACAGAATGAGCCCACACACAGTCCAACAACCAGAGCTACTGCAAGAAGACCAAAGGGCAAAGTAAAGAGGGAGAAGAATAGACAGGAACACCTTGGTGATGGTGAGATTTTACATTTACTCCATGTGTCTTAAGGACCCCCAGCCAAATGGGATAATGTTGGAAAAAATCTTACCCTTCACACTGTAACTGTTGACATTTTCTTTTGACAGCCTCACAGAGTCCCAAAGAGCTCCCTTTGAAAACCAAAGCCATTGTGTCAGAAGGGCTGAGGGACTGCCCACTGGCTTAGGCTAACCCAAAGGCCACCTGGGCTTTGCTGTTACCTCATCACAATCCACATAGAAAGTTACACTCTGGCTGCCAGTGTTGAAGTCAATCCAAAACTCCTCCAGTTTCTCATCTGATGGCTTCTTCACCTGGGGAAGAAGAGTGGCACTCCTGTTCCCCAAAAAGTGCTACAACTGCACTATCAGTGACAAATTTCTTTCGTGAAACTAAACTGGAAAGTGTTACCCTACGTAAACATCTGTACACCCTACAGAAGCAAGAGTTCAGATCACCCTGTGGGATGCCAGCCCACTGCTCACCCAACCACAACCATGTCAGACCTGGCTCTAGGCAAGGGAGAAGCAAGGCACAAGTGCTGTCGAAGTTGTTTCTGAGCACTTGAAATAAGCAGGAACAGTGGAACCAGCTTCCATCTGCATGGGCTTGATTCAATATGACCTTCAGGAATGGTGCCACATTTCATTCAATTGAAGACCAGTGAAGCAAACTACAGAATCCGCAACTTTTCTCCAGGGGCACCAGGCTAACCTTGTTTTCTGACAGCCTGGAAACAGCTCTGCCAGAGGATTCAGTGTTGTCCTGTCCTCCCTTTTCTTTTTAGCACTGTTTTCTGTCATCACCATGAAGAGAAGCATTGCCGCTATCACTTGGCTGATACAACAGCAAAGTCAGCAGCAGTAAGTTGGAAGCCAAGTGACAAACAAGTAAGCTTTCCAACTAGAACAGAAGGTACAGTCTATGCTCTCAGAAATCAAGCTCTTCAATAAATAAAAGAGGCAGGGGAGAAAAACCCCAAACATTTACCACAGAAAGCAACGTTTAAACAGCCATGGTACTGTATGAAAGGTGTCAGAGCTTTAAGGGCTATTACCTCATTCATGTCAGCAAAAGCAGATATGCAAGGAAATGAGTAGACTCTGGAAGAGAAGCAGACTTCACATGATATATTCAACATTAAAGTCTGACTTCAATTATTTTACTTTTAAGAAGATTAGTAACAAATTTTATTGTTCAAAGAATAATTAAAAATTTTCTAGAAGTAAATTAAGCTTGGATAAGCTAGAAACTACAATATTTTAGTACTGATGCATTACCTTCATTGATTTTACTTTCAAAAAAAATCACCATAAAAATGCATAAAATTTCCTTTTTAAAAACAATTTCATCTTCACATGCAATGTAAATTTTTTTTTAATATAAGCCAACCCATTTTACAATTCTATTTATTCTCCTCTGCAGTAATCATGTGTACCAATTTATTCTGTTGGTTCCCAGCTTACCTTCTTTTATCTCCAAGCCTTTCATTTAGTAGGTTAAGAAATTTTCTGCAATCCTTCAAGACAAATGACACATTATTTTAAAATGCAGGCTACTTTTCCTTTGCAAATTGTTATTCTATTGTGTCAAATAACTGTTTGCTGTGTAACCTCTACTGTCCAGATAAAAGCTTTAAACTGGTAAGTGAGACAACAAAGACCACTGGGAAGAAACACTCAATTTACTACAAAAGATTGGACCCAACTCAACACGCATAAGAATTCAAATATAAACTCCACAAATTAACTTATTTATGCATTACTTATATTTTTTTATTTTGCTTTTTTATAGGTAAAATAATTTAGAAGCTTAGGAACTATTTTACCAATGTGTGGTAATAATTTATAAATATTAACAATATAACTAATATAATATTAATATATTATTGTAATTATAATATTATATGTGATATGTAATAATATAAAAATAAATAAATATTATTTTAATATTAATAGGGGGGGAAAATATGCCATCCACAAATAACTTTGTATTTATAAAATCAGTTTTGTAGGAACTTCTTGCAAGGACACCCTGGCTTAACTCAACCAAAACTAGCCCCTATACAGCCTTGTCAAGTATGTTGTTTTCAAAATAAGGACCCTCACCGTCTCAAATTCTCGATCCTTGATCTCTTTGAAAGCTTCAGCGAGATAGTTATCTTCAAACCAGTGGTGAACAAGGTCATCCCTCCATTTTTTTATCATTAACCTACAAAGTGCTTCTGAAAGGGCAACCTGAAGGTCATAATCTGCCAGGTAAACACAAGCACAGGATAAATATCTCTGCAGTATAACAGAGGATTATAGCATTGCTACTCCTGCAATTTTATATACACGGTCACATCCTTCCTCTAGCCTCAGTTTCCCCTAGGAGAACGGGGGAGGGCAAGAGCCAAGTGTTGGCTCAGGCATCCTCAGCTCCCCCAGCTCAGTGAGATCGAGGTACAGAGTACTGCAAGCCACAACACACATGAGCACACTGGGAGATGTGCTTGGGGTTCAGGAGGGGGGTGAGAGCAGAGACTCGTCACTAACCCACTAGGATCAGGCCACATTGCATATACCATGGCAATACTCTAAAATGTTATTATCGGGAGAAGACAAAAGATATTTCACTCAAGAAGCCATTAACCTTGTTAACTAAATTTCAGCCACATCATAGCAGAGCAATTTAATTTTTTTAAGAATAACAACCAGCACATTCTGTAAACACATACATAAGGCTGATCTAATTACTTTTCTACATAAATCAGTTTAGCTTGTCTGATTATTCAATATGCATCACCAATACCAACCAGAAAGCACTGATGCATTGCTGCTGTTAACTTTTTTATTTTTTGTTAGAATACACATGACCTTCCTCCCTAAAATCAACTCTTAGCAAGGAAATATAATTTAAATTATAATTAATCTATAATAAATAAGCAGATGAGGTAAAGCTAGAGAAATTCTTACCACCAACCTCCAGTATAGTTTTTGCAAGATCTTTCCTGAAACAACAAAATGCCAGAAGTTAAAATGGAAATAAGCCTCTCCTAATGCAGAGAAGCAGGTATGTAGGTACAGAAACTGGAGGGAAAACCACTTACGTGAGTGAGCACATCTCCTCAGAGAGAGGGAACTTCTTTCTCTCTTCCCGTGGGACACTGTCAAGTATAGAGTTGAGGGTCCTCAAGGCCTTCCCCCCCCACAAGAGAAGGGGTAGAAAATTAAGGGAAACAACATTGTTTCACATTTTATCTAATTACACAAAATTTCACACAAACGTATCCAATTTTCTCCTCCTAGTAAGAATCTTACCTCCAGATGCAGAGCGCAGCAAATACTTGCTTCTGCCACTAGGCGCCCTAGTTCAGGCAAAAATAAATTCACTAGCTCTTTCTTCCCTAGAAAAAATAATTTGAAAGGTACAGCTAGAAATGTGCTGGTGTCCATATAAAAATAGTCGAAGCAACTACAGTTGTGTTGAAGGAATAAAAACATCCCAGCTGTAAATTCATTTTAAGACAAAGCTTCCAACCATCTTATCCTAGACAGAAAGGGGAACTGGTAACTTCTAGCTAAAAAAATACCAGTGCCCCAGCTATACTAACTTCTGACCTGGGTAACTATTTAAAGAGGCACAGGAAGGGGAAGATAATTACTAGCCGCAAGAGAAAACCTAAATATACATGTTTTGTCTAAGTCACCAGGGCAAACCAATGAAGTATTAACCAGAGGATGCTTGTGCCACTCTGCTCCCACTAGAATAAGGTGCAAGGACAAATAAGCACATATTACCTGCCCCAGAGTGCAATGCTTCATTTTTACATGGATTGTAAGCCTGGATGTCTGGTCACACAGATGTTTTCTGAAAGCACCTGCTCCCCCCCGCCCTAATGTAAAGCCAGCTGCAGCCACAGAACAAAATTTTTCTGCTGAAATGAATGAGAGACAGACATCTCTCTGTGGAGTTCAGAAGGCTGAAGGAGTTACCATGTTATTCTGTGGAGATGGTTGCCTTCAGCAAGGGCCTGACATCTGATGCCAGAACAGACTGTCTAGCCTGAACCCCTTTCAGAAGCCACTCACTCTGATCAAGTGAAATGCTTGATGCTGACCATTTAAACAAGATACCAGAGATAGACTTTTTTTTTCCAGCATGTATAAAGCAAGAAAACAAAGAGAAACAGAAAAAGGTTTTGTGCTCCAATATAAATGTTAATGAAAATTAACTGACAAGAAACCAACTGGAGAATTAAAAAAAAAAAAAAAGAAATTGCAGAGAGGAAACAGGAAGCTGAAGGAAAAAAAAAGGGGACAAAGTTCAAGCTCTATCAAGCTCTATTAAGAAATATGCTCCTAAGATTAAGATTCAGAATATTGAGGAATGGGAGACAAAAATATAAAAAAACCACTGACCTTCATTACTGCATTTGCAAATCACCTGATGGAAAGAGCAAAAGAAGCCTTCATTAACACACCACCAGCCAACAACAGCAGTACACAAAGTGCCAAGCTGTTTATGCACACCTTCCTCACCCCCCAACTCTGAGATGCTAAATAACATAGAACAGTAGCATACCCACATCAGAAAAAGCCACCTGATCCAGGTATGTCACATATGGTCACCCTGATCATACAGGCTGGCAATATGCAGGGAGGGTGGTAAAGGTGGCCAAGCACCCACTTCTCCCAGGGATTTCTGCAGCACCTGAGAGCACAGTACCTACAGGTTCCCTGGAAAACCCACATCATGACATTGTTCTCTTATTTTTGTTGTACATGTGGGCCTGCGTAAAAGCACATTTTATCTTTATACACTATAGTGCTAGATATCACAATGTGGATCTGAAGGCTGTTAAAGTCTCCTTTAACTTTCTTTTTTTAAAGTTTTTTCTTTTTTTGAAGTTTCCTTTTAACTAAGGAAAATTAAAGATAAAAACTTTAAAAATTAAAAACAGTTCCACAACACAAAACACTTCCTCCTCCACAGTGAAAGCCTGTGGAAGAAACGTAGCAGAAAGACAAATAAATTAAGTTTTTGGGAAAATAAATATTTTCATAAATATTTATATATATTATAATTAAATATAATATTATGTAATTTAATATAACATACATATTATATCTATATTATATATATAATGTAATATATTTTATAATTTCAAAATGGTGAGTAGAGAAAGAAGGAAGTTTAATTTTTCTCAAATATCTTCTAGCAGAACTCCTGAAGAGAGCCATAAGTATTGATATGAATGCTGATGCACGAAGTGACACAGTTCCAGTAAGCTACAGGCAAGAAAATTGGGAGCAACAGCTTGGGGGAAAAAAGCTAAAAAGCCTTCTTCCTATTACAAATGCTACATCACTAGGCCTCTGAACACCATTAAAATCCTTAAATATTTAAAGTTGAAACCTAAATCAAAGTTGCAATCAAGTTAGATCATTCTTTAGAATTGGATCATCTGTTTCAAACAGATGAGGAACAAATCACCAGGACCATCTTAGCAAACACTTTTGCACATCAAGTGCAACTCAGTATCCATAAGTTGCGGGTTCTAAAGAGAGCATCAGCTCACAAACTTTTATTTACAAAATGCATCAGAATTTCTTGCAATTTTTTCTACTAAAATAAATACTTCAAGTTAGAAAATGAGAAAGTACGTCTCCCAAGTGTGTCAAATCTCAGCTAGACCCCAGCCTGGAGCACACTCCTGGACACCACCCAGCCCCACCACCTAGGCTGCATATCCCAGACTGAGCCCTAGGGCACCACATCCATGCAGTTATTTATTTTCTAACAGGAAACTGTTGGTGAACAATAGCTATCTTATCCAATCAAACCAACCCTTCTGTCCCCTTAAATGCATATACATACCAATGCACAATCAAAGAAGTCTTCAAGCAGTAACATCAAAAATTTATTCTCATTTGGGTCGATGACGGTCACAAATGTTCTTGCTCTTTCAAACCAAGATACCAGGTAAAAGTTAAAAGAATGAGTTAAAAACTGGGAAGAGGAATTAATAATCCTTAAACGATATATGTCTGTGGGAAACCTCACTGAAATTTTTACTCTTTAAACTTCAGAGTCACATACTGTGCCAAAAGTTACATGGCTTTAAGTTGTTCAAGTTTTGCTAGGAGGACGTGAAAAGTGCCATTTCCCTCTTCCCTCCCTAGCCCTCCTTTTATCCTCCTTTCTTGTCCAAGGCACCCAACTCCTGATGCCCAGACACAATACATGCTGCTAGAGGCACCAAAACTCCTATAGACATTTCTAGAGGACATAAACTCACAGCAAAATACTGTAATTTTTTTTCAAGCTTTTTCAAGGTAAATATTTGGATGCTTGATGGTTTTAAACATTGCATAATATCACACACAAATGGTGAACTAGAAATCTATGCTTCACTGGAAATACAGAGCTCAGACTGGAAAAACTTTATTAATTTATCTCCATACAGGAATTCTGAGCAACTGTATCCCTGAAAACATAACTTCAGGACAGGAATACAACACTTGGGAGGAAGGACTCCTCAGTACAACTCTGCCAGCAAAGAGCATGTGTTAGCTGTTCCCTGGAAGCTGTGTTGGATCCAGGTGTTACTCATCTTCAGTGCAATTGCATTTCTGCTATTACAACTATTACAAGCTGAAATCAATATAGTGCCAGAAGATAAAACACAATTGCAGATTAAATGCATCTGGTTTGCTACATATCTAGAGAGGGACCTTCAAAAAGAATATCTCAGTTTTTAAAAATATAAAAGCACAAATTACTCATCAACTCTATTACTAAAACTGCATTTTGCTGGAGCATTTAAAATGCATTTAGAAAGTCTATACCATTTCACTAATGGCACTCATAGCAACCCATCCTCTCCTTACACTATCAGCTTTAAAAAACCCCAAAACCCAGCCCTTTAAATCAGGTAATAAGTGGAGCCATAAAATTGGCTGCTACACCAAAAATCAACAAAAGAGAGCAAGCATTTTTCCCCCACTCATGCAATACACTAGAAAAAATATTTTGTTTCTGTGTGGCCAACAAGCCATCCTCTAGTTTTCGCTTCCTTGGAGTTCTTTTTCCTAAAGAACCTTAAATCACATTAGTAACTTGTGTATAGTATTATACTCATCTTTGCTACCAGTCCTTGCTCAATGAATAAGCTCTTCCCTTCTTGAAAATCACTTTTAAGGTAGAGCTGAATACATTTCAGCAGCAGAGAAACATTCTCAAAATCATTCTTGTCCAGCTCCTACAAAAACACAGAGTGCTGTGCATCAGTAGTCTGCTACCCTCTGAGTTAGGTGTTAGGATAGTTGAGATTATTTATGGTACTTGCCTTTCTCAGTGCTTTGTCCAGCTGGTTAAAGAGAGATTCACTGTATTTCTGGGGAGGCTCTACTTCCTTCTCTTGAATCAGTTCATGTATTTTTTGAAACCCCTTCCCTTTAAAGGCATCAGTGAGCAGTGATTCAATCTATAGATGCAGGAGAAGGAAATAATTAGCAAATAAAATAAGCAGGCATTGAACTTGTAGCAGCAGTAATTATGATAAAATACTTACAATGCTATTTTTAAAGTTGCAAGTTTCTGTTTATTTGTCTTACACTGTTTGTTTCTCTACTTTCATTCTACTGCTACGTTTGAAGTAAAATATCAGTCTTAATGTCCAAAAGAGACAGAACCCTTGAAACTGAGCAACCTTAAAAGATACCAGGTAAGGAAAACAGGCAATTTATTATACCTGGTTTGCAAGTCCCACAACTACTACAATAAATTTTTTTCCCCACTTACTAAAGAAAAAAATTAAGAGGACTGCTGCACTTCCCACATTAAGTAAAACTACTAAAAGTTTTGGGTCATGTCATATCCAGTTAAGAAATGCACCTTAAAAAAATAAATAAAATACATAAATAAATATAACAATTTGTAAGATGACGATAAAATTACTAAAAGTTCAGGGTCATGCCATATCCGGTTAAGAAATGAATCTTTAAAATATATATATATAAAAATAATAATTTGTAAAATGAAGATAAAGATGCATTTAAAAGATCCTTACATAGTCTTCTGCTCTATTGCCTCTCACATCTCTACTTCGTTCTTCACTTTTTTGTTCCTTTAAAATTATAAGGAAGAGAAAAACACAGAAAAAAATATATTCTCTCTCCATCCCCTCCAAAAAAAGAAAATCCCCCCAACCAAAACAAACCCAAACACTTCTTCTGCCCCAAAGCTGAAGAGCACTTACTCCTCCCCTCTGTCCCAAAACGCTGCTTTTCCTTCCTTATTACCTAAGCCGCAAAGCACCCCTCCGCCTCCCAAGGCGAGGTTTCTGGCAGCCCGGGGAGTGCCGCGGGTGTTCCCCGGAGGGATCACGGAGTGTTCCCCTCTGGGTGGCGGCTGCCGGCTCCCGGCCGCGGGGAGCGCCGCTCACCTGGGCCATGCTGCGGGGGCTGCTTCGCACCCTCCCCGCCACCCGCTGCTGAGCACACCCGCGTTTAGGGAGGAGGGAGACCCTCGCCGGCTTTTCTCACAGCTCCGAGCACCCTCCTCAGCAAGTCCTCGCTCTGTACATCAGGAGCGGTGGGGGAAAAGGGGGAAAAAGGCGCCCGGTTCTCCCCCGCGCTAAAAAGCCGCAGCTGTGTGGCTCCTGGGACCGGCCCCAGCACCCGGACACCGGCAATACAGCACTGGCAGACCCCCGGCCGAGCCCAGGCGGGCAAAAGAGGAGCCCAGAGCCCCCCTGAGCGCTGCTCTCGGCCGAGGAATGCCGCAGCAGGCGTGTGCTGCTGCCGAGTGGGCTTTATTGTGCTCAGCTGAGAGTAAGGTTCAGTAAATTTTGGACCAGAGAGGATGGAAAGGAATGAGAAAATCATTCCGGACAGGTGGGATGGTTTAAAGGGTAACAGCTGAGCTCGGCGTTCAATGGCTCGGTCTCTGCTGTCGCGGATAATTTTTTTCCTTCTGTTTTTCGCACCAAAACTCAATCTCCCTCCTTTCTTCCCACAACACCACCTCCCCCCTCCAAAAAAAGCCAAACAAAAATCACGAAAAACAAACCAACCAACCGAAAAACTTCAGACCCCATCGGCTATTTCTTTCGAAAATAAAAAGGTAACAAAAAACTGTGACTGTTCAATAAGTTAAAATGTGCCTATCAATACAATAGCACCAAAATCAACTTTGCACTTTAAAACAGGTGCTATAGAGCACAGCGCGAAGGGGAAACCTGCCAAATAACTCCGATTTCGTTTACGTCCAAAGAGCAGGTTATTCAGCACCTTTGCCTCCCTCCAGAGGCTTTACAAGCTGAGGGCAGCTCCGAGCCACGCTCAAAATCCAAGATCAGGAGCATCCCGGTGGGGCAGAGACGGGTCCCCCAGGTCCCCATCACCCAGGCCCCCCGAGGGAGAGAGCGGCGGAGCCCCGCGGCTGCCGGGTTAGACTTCCAAACCCCGCTCAAATTTGCCGAGGTCACGGCCCCCAGAGCTGGGGAATGGATTGGTGCACAATCCCTCTGTCTATCCCCCATCACACGACTTCAGGTGAAGGTAGCGGAACCCGCCTGTGGAGGGGGAGCTCAGCTCCTGCCCACCCAGGGGCCGCGGTGGGGTTCGCTGATTGTGCCGCTGTTCCGCCTGCGGGGCCGGCTGAGAGCTCCCCCGCACACACCTCGGCGACGCCCCGACGGCATAAAAAACTGGGATCGGCACCCACGGGCACTCTGTGCCATGAAGCTCACCTGGGATATCAATGACCCCAAGCTGCCGCAGGTAACTCACGGGTGGGAGGTATTGGGGAGAGTCTCGGTCCAGCTCTAATGCAGACCTGGGCAACAGCGGAACTAAGTTGACTCTAAGCAAAGCTTTGTTTTACTTCTGCTTTATTTCTCTTGTGCCTTTTCACTTTTTTCTTTTGTTTTGTTTTGTGGTCTTTATTACAACTTGTAATAAAAGTATGGATTTGATACACAGCTTTGCCTAGCTGGATATGAGCTCCTAAAACTACCTGTGACTCCATTTAGACAGTTACCTTCTTCCCCCTCTCCCTCTTGTTCAAGAAATGCTGACTAGAAGCTTGAATTGACTGCTTACTACCATGATCCAAGTTATCTAATTATTTCTTTGTTTTATTGATGCAACACATCACACAATTTAATGTCAATGAGCACTCTGCTTTTGTCTAGTTGTGAGTTTCAAAGGTGTTTTTTAATTTGAAACTTTTTTGATCTTAGAGTTTATTTTTACAGAGCCCATGCTATTATAGAATGTCCTAATGCTGTAAATGCTGGTAGTTTACTTCTGTTTACCGGGTTTGCTCTCACATGTGGTACATACATATGTCACATATGCTTTGCATTGTAAATATTTGCGGTTTAAAATCTTAGTTCTTCTTTCATGGTTCTGATAATTACATTTTAGTAAGGAACTCTAGAAAGCCAGTGAAATCCCAAATTGAATTTGCACGACCATACACATATTGGAAGTACATTTGCAATGATAAATCTTTTTACCTCTGTTTTTTGGGAAAAGCCTTATTCAAATCATATTAGATGCACTTTAAGAAAACATTCTATAGCTAAAACTTCTAGTTTCCTGCCTGCAGGTGCATGGTCCCACAACAAGGAGAACTTAATAGAAGTCATGATCAGGGTGGCTTGTGTCTTGTCTGGGCACACAGATAGTAGACTAATCAGTAAATTCTGGGAGTTGGGCTGATGTCTTATAGCTGGTAACTTCGCTGTAAAAGGCATATGTATCGACAGACTGTGCTACATGCAAAAGAGGAAAGGATCCTGACTTTATTTTGATGTATGGAATCTCTGACTTCCCCAGCCCCTTTAGAGAGCAGTTCTGAGCAAGCTATTCCTTCAATATTTCTTTTTCTGCTGCTTGGCTGGTGATAGAAAAAGCACTTTTCCCTGCTATGTGCTTTATAACAAGGAAAAAATATCAGTTTGTAATATACTAATAACGTTCTCTTGCTCTTCTCCTTGCTGCCTCGCCCTCCCACCCCACCCACCCTGCTGCAGGAGCCCAAGCACTTCGATGCCTTCCAGGAATGGCCCGATGGCTACGTGCGGCTCATCTACTCGAGCGAGGAGAAGAACGCGCAGCGGCACCTCAGCGGCTGGGCCATGCGCAACACCAACAACCACAACTGCCAGATCCTCAAGAAGTCCTGCCTGGGAGTGGTGGTGTGCGCCCGGAGCTGCGCTCTGCCCGGCGGGGCCAGGCTGCAGCTCCGCCCCGCCATATGCGACAAGGCTCGGCAGAAGCAACAAAGTGAGAGGCACCCGCAGAGAGCTGCGATGCACAAGGGACCCCGTTTCTTTTATCTGGGCTTGGTTTCCAAACTGGAGTCACTTTTACTTGCGAGCAGACTAAGGCATAATTGCAACGACTGATTAATTCCAAATTTCAGCAATGTCTGCGTGCAAATATTTAAGGGGATATGGATTGAAATCCTTTAAATTATTACTTTATAACTAGTGGGCAGTTCTAGCTCGTATCATGTACTTATGCTTGGTAGTCTATGTTGTATTTCCTTGGACAATACATTTTAATCTGAATTTTGGAGAAGTCTGACCGTGCTGCTCTTGAGCTGTGTTTACTCTCAGGCAGCATCCTTGTCTTTAACCAATCTCTTCAGCACTTTCTGTCTGTTCACAGAGAAAGCCTGCCCCAACTGTAACTCTGCCCTCGAGTTGGTTCCTTGCCGAGGACACAGTGGCTATCCGGTCACAAACTTCTGGAGGCTTGATGGCAAAGCAATATTTTTCCAGGTAGAAAGCAGCCGTATGTATTTGTGCACACTATATAATTACACCTGTATATAAGATAATAACTGTAAAGAGAGAGATTTCCTCCTCCCCCCCTTTTTTAGGTAACACAGACCATTATGAACATGATGAAGTCCAGGACTGAATTTCTCTCTAGTATGAACATAATAAGAACAAATAAAACAATAACGCTTGAATGTCTCTTTAAAAGCAGTACTTATGTGTTGGCAATATTCAGTTTTAACTACAATAATGTGGTTAGTCAGTGATGGCTAAAATTCTCCTGTTTACAGAATACAAATACGAGCAAAAGTTGTCTTGTACCCTGGTGCATATGACAACTGGATCTCTCCAATATTTATTTCCAATTATTTATTTCCTACTAAAATAAATATGAAAAAAAAGCATGACTTAACTTAAAGTATGGAAATTCTACTTCATGTGAAACTAGCCTTTGAATTTTGAAGGATTTAAAATCTTGACAGGAAAAAGAAGGATCTTAGCTGACATTTGAAATTTCATCTTGATTTTTTTTAACAACATTGGAACAAAAAGTAAACAAAAAGTTCCTATTCTATGAGATCACATTTTCTCTTGGATATTTTTTTTCCCATGACTCACAAACAGTGAATTCTGTTCTCCACTCAGTAAATGGAAAAAAAACCTGGCCATATTCTCAGATTCCCTCCTATATTATTCTTATTCAAATGTTCTTTTACAGACATGCAAAGCTGAAAGATTTTACTATCAAAAAAAGTTGATAAATCCTTGCTTAGAAATTAATTTCTGCTTGAGACAGTGTTTTAAAAGCAATTTTTAAGCTTCCTACTGTGTATTAGGGACTGTATGTAGATCTGTTCAGGCAAATGAGTAAGGAAATGTCCATGACTTCATCATATACCAGTGTAAATTTGGTTAGGTAGATCTGCATACCCACAAATGTTTCAATAGCAGAGCATCTTCAGATGATTTTCCAGGATATAATTTTCAGTCCTGTTCAAGAAGGTGTATTGCTTGAAGAGAATATTTATCATCTTGTAGCATGAAACCTCTTTAAAGTCTATTTATTCTATTTATATACAGGCTTATAAAGAAAAACTGAGATACTGGACTGCAGAAAACTGACCAAACAAAATTTATTTTTTTTCCTCCTTGGTTCTAAGTCTGAATGGCACAAACTTAGATAGCACTTTTGCTCCTTCATCAGCTCAGCAGTCCTTACTGACTTCTCACTTTTTCCTTCCATCTACATCCAAATCATGATTTATTCTATTTATTTTCACAATGAATTTGTCCTTGTTTACTTTCTCCTTTCTTTTTTCTTGTGCCAAACCACAGACCATGCTCTGACTACCTCTCATACTACTCAGAGCCTTTTTTCTTATCTTAGCCCTTTTAAGGTTCACATCTAATTCTCAGTTAATCCTAATTTAGGCTAAAGGAGTCCATGACCACCCCCGGCCGGAGAGTAAACTGGAGGCAGAGGCAAGAAGAAGTGCAATTAAGAAGCAAATGTCCTCTTACCACCACTCCCAGAAAAAGAGATCTCTAAACTCAGAGGTAAGTCAAAGTCATCAGTGAAATAAAAAGGTGACATAAGGTGTCAATTAAAAAGGTGTGATAAGCATGTACTGGGGATCCCAGGGCAAAACAAGCCTTTA